CTTCTAAGTATGTTTTAATATTCTTGCTTATATATGAAAATATTTATCTTGATTTAAGATTGTTTGATTGGTTAATTTTTTTTCTATGTGTAAAACTGATATAATGACATATTTTTCGACTATTAAATGGTTACATGAATCGTGAACTCAGATTATTTGAACTATTAAATTGGAATAAAAACACTGACACAAAAATTAATTATGTTATTTAAACCAAATTTTCGTGTGTAAAATTTAGTTATTGTGCATTTGTCACGAAACTATTTGTATATTATTTCGTAACATAGAGCTAGGATGTGTCACATAATTCACATAATTGTCATGATAAAAACCATTAAAAATTCCGCAGTAATTATCGATGTTAGCATGATTGTCCGAGGAATAACCCTTCGTACTATATTGACTTAATTAAAAAGTGTCGAGAAATTTCTCGCATATCGAAGTGTCTCTAAATTGTATGTGTAATTCCACGATACATATTATTTTCGAAAGATAAATTGTCCCTCGGAAATGATTAATTAAAAGGTTTGAGAGAAATGATCAGATAGAATAATTGCAAGAAACAGCTAGAAACAGCGATATCGCCAGTCACTTTAACTTACCCTACTAACTCTCTTAATATCCAGGAAGTAATCATTCTCGTGCTTGGATATACTTTCCCTGAGCGAGTTTTTACTTATGCAATTTTATTTCGCTGTCCAAATGTATTCATCGACTATTATCGTAACAATAAACGGAGGGTAGAGCAAAGAAAGCGATTACCAACCGGGAAGCCGAAGGCAAAACTCAAGGATGAGAATAGTCGCTAATGAACAATCTTGTTATCATTTGCGTCTGAAAGCAGTAACGTGTTGCACATTTAATGGTAAATGAAACATTTGTACAATTCATATTATTGTTCCTTCATCTCAATAATCTTTTTAGATAACAACGTTACTGCTTATTATTACGTGTGAATTTCACGAATCACGGGGCTTCGAGGACGCTCTTGGTGAAATCGAACAATTAAAATTCTGCGAGAGAGACATTAAGACGCGTGTCCTGAATTTTCAGCCGCCATTCGGAAACTCGTTGCCATTATTACTTGTCGTCACGTTGACTAGACGCGATCACGTGCATATTGCAAAATTTCTGATAACTTTACACGAAAATAACCTCGCATAACAATAATACAGTTGCAAATTTACCTTCGCTTCACGCAGATTCTATAAATACTCGACAGGAATTTTTGAGATTATCACGAGTCTATAGCAATTTTCATTTTATTCTGGATCACGAATTTTCGATACTCGATACGGGAGCCCGACAGCGTGGGTTTTGCGGGATTTATGTGTGTGGAAATGGTCGAATGTATACGTGTCTCCTAATAACATATCGGCTAAAACAAGCGGCTTCCCGCGGCGCTCGCTGATAATTGCCAGTATAAATCGTTAAAAAGATAGCGGCGAGTGTGTTCTAGTGACCTGTAGATAATAATCTGTCGTAACAGCATGTACTTCGATCTTCCGCCGTGGCGCTCCCCGTCCATGAAGAAGACGCGATAATATCAAGCGTATTACGCAGTCGCAATACATGCAATCGCATGTACTCTCTCGATACGCACGTCCGACGATTATCATTAAAACTCAAGTAAAATTTATCGTATCACATATCCTGTTATCCTTCGTAACCTATTTATTGACTGATATACGGTGCGACACACATATGTTATTAACGATGATCGATGATCAGAATCGTAGTGATAAGAAAGTCTGGGGGAACAGATTTATTTCCCACCAAGATGTATACAAAAAAGTAGCTCTCATTATAAAAAAAAAAAAAGAAGTAATTCTTACGGTTAAAAACTAGCCACGATAGATAAAAACTAGCTGCCCATGTTATACAACTGAAATTGAGTTAATTTGTTAATTCTTGTTGTCCATGTACCTAGTTCTTAGCTCCCACAGATAAAGACTAGGTCTGCTGATCTGCTAATCAAATTTCAGTTTTATATTATATGGACAGCTAATTTCTTTTACGAATGAGTCGTAAGCAGTAATAGTGTTAATACTTTCCTCATGAGTATTTTCCCCATGAGCATTTTCCTCGTGAGGTAACGTACTAGATTCGGTAGATTGTCATAGAAGGAAATCGAGTTTGTGACTCTCACGAACTGAATTTGATTCATGAGGATACACCCTATGTTATTAACGATGATCGATAATCAGGATCTTTCGTAGTGATAAGAAAGTCTGGGAGAGCAGATTTATATGAGAAGCAGAAATCCTGCCTCCTCCCTAGCTGAGCCAAAACGCGCTCAGCTAGATCACGTCGCGTTTATTCAGCCAATCTTCTTCTTCCGCGGGCGATTTAAGTGAAACCACGCTGAACGTTTCGAACATAAAAGTTCTCGTTAAAACGAAGCCGGGTGGATTGATTATTAACGAGCATTACGAACTGAACCGAAGGCCACGTTCCCCTCTATCACACCTGTCGACGGATTTAGCGCCGACCGAGCGATGGATGTCGGTGCAACCGTTGATCCCAAGACTGCACAGCAAAAGCGCCGATTGTTACGCGAGGTTATTCAATCGTGTCTAACGCGAACGGACGGGATTGTGCGGCAGGTTGGAATTATCCAACGGTAGCTTCAACGGTGACTTTCTCCGGCGAGCAGTCGTCCCACGGCGCATGCATGCAAACACAAGGGGAATTGGCCTCTGAACTTGGACGATCGTCGATTGGCTTTATGTCTTTTGCTAATGATACGTCCGTGACGCGTGCGGAAAATCCAGGCGGAATCGAACGGTTTTAGAAAGTCGTCCGTCGTCACTGTCTCTCCTCGCTCGAATCTATAGTCACACAGCCAATGCCGTTTCGTGCCTCGAAACAGCAGACTACTAGCACCAGGCTTTCGAGATTTATAGAACTCCTTGCCCCGCTGGCGATGGACGTGGAAATTTATAGAAGGGATATGCGATGCGTCGTGCGAACGATGTTTCCGCGATACCACGAAACATTTGTTCACCGCTACTCGGCGAATTAAAAATTTTTTAAACTGCAGGTTGCATTGTTTAAATAGCGTGCGTTTTTAGACACGGTCTAAAAGGAAAAGTCGTTATATACCCAGTGTAAATATTATAAAATACATTTTTTTTCCTTTTCTTAGACAGAGATAGATTTTCGAAAGCCGAAAACATTTTTCTTACTCGACTTGCAAATCAGCTGCGGCACAATGATTAAGTAGAAATTAAATCATTGCCATATCGCACGGCAAAATAACGCAAACGAATTAAAAGCTTTCTTGGATGTCCCAAGGCGAAAAGATAAACGTGCGTGAAAATCCGATGAGGGTGATTCATTCTTCGGCGTGTCATGTAATCCCTTATGAGGGCATCATCGTCGCGTGAAAAAAGGCTTTGTACTAGAACAAAGGTGTAGGATTCTCGTCTCGATCGCAGGAAAGGGGAGGCTTAACAAAAAGGTGTATTCGGGCGGACGCAGCTCTCTAGTAATCGAAAGACGAATCCTCTTCGTTCAGACTCATATGTAATGAATCGTTAATAAGAAATGTTTAAAAAAATTAATAGATTATTATATAACCATTATTATATTACATAATATAATTATTACAATTATATATATATATATATATATATATATGATTGTTATTTTATTAATTATTAATTATTGTATAATATATTATATTATATAATTATTATATAATAATTACATAATACTGCCTATGAAGTGAGACCAAAATTAAATTATATTCTAAACGAAGTAGGTCAAGTCTGATAACATTTTTCTATAAGATTAAAATAAGATTTTTAAAATAATTATCCAAAATGTTTGTCTTGTACAGATTTCCTCCTTCTAATTGCTCATAATTAAAAACAAAAAATCTATCGACATTTTAACTTGAAACCACAACCGAATAGCTTGCATTAGATTTCTACAAAAATATTTAATTCCATAAATCTTCGAGCATCTTCCGATATCTTGATTGTAGCGATTGTAGTGCGCGCATATGTATTTTTGCACAACCGCGCGTTTATCTCTCTTCCTCTCTTTTTGTCTAATCAATCTACTGTGAATTCTCAGCTACGCGAGAAACCTTGGCTGAACTCTTTACTCACGTAAATGACAACGGATGTTTCCGCATATTCTGCTACGAGGAGTATTAAATAAACGAGCGGCACTATTATGTCGGGCGCACTCACCGACTTAAGCAAATAATAAATTTACGTAACAACGAAGACCGATGAGGAAATAAGAAGCAAGAAGGATTGCGAGCGGCACATTTTTCGCGTTGCGCGCTTAACGAACCATATGAGAAATTCGATTTTACGTCCGGCAATTCGATGTAGGATAACGAGGAAATGCATCGCGCATTCATCACTGCAGCAGATACACACGCGGCTCGATATATTATGAATGCAAAACACTAATTGAGCAGCTCGGGCGTATTTCTTGCACAGATCGTACTTTCTACGCTATCAGTATAATCGTTCGTCTGTGTCGCGAATTGTACGGAGAATTATTTGCAAAAAGCCGGTGGTTTACTGTGACTCTAACGATTGTTATTACTATGAATAATACGTACGAAATTGTTGCTCTTCTCGTTCTCGAATATGACTTAAAGAGACCAACCAGACTTTTACCCAGAGCTGGGAAATAACGTGTTAGTCGTAACGTCGTTATCGTTACGAGTTACTTTTCTCCAATCAACGACTCCGATCAACTGGGCGTTATTTTTTTTTTTTACCATAGTGCAATGGCGGCAATTGCATTTTTTGGGTAACGGTAATGAGTTATTTTTCAAGACGAAGTAACGGTCTCACGACGACGAGTTGCCTTTTTCAATATATAACGGGTTCGAGAAGTGGCTCTCCCGATACCGCTTTTACCTCATAAATTTCGCCCCTTACAGGTCCTCGAGATGTTACAAATTCCGAATATCCGGCAATGCGCCAAGCTGATTAATAATAGAGCTGAGGACTTGTTACTTTCACTTTCAGATGTGGCAGAACCTAAAGTGCGTCGATGACTTCTTGAACCGTGCGTTTCACAAATTAGGCCTCATCGTCGGCCGACACCCCAGCTACTTCGTTATCGTGCCTTTATTGTTGGCTTGCATATGCTTCACCGGCTACCAGAGGATACACTATGAAATCGACCCGGAATACCTTTTCTCGCCCATCAACGGGCCTGGCAAAACCGAACGAGCGGTAGTCGAGCAATACTTTAAAGTCAACTATAGCTATCATTTCGATCTCAGTCGTATCACCAGGCCAGGTGAGAGCATCATTGGTCATTCGTTCTATTAAATATTCCCTCAATCTCTTCGTCCATGAGGAAACCCGATGATTCCACGAGAAGTCTAATGAACCCAGAATGCTTCCATGCAATCAGAAGGCTAATGTAGATACTATAATACGGTCCTTGTACTCGTAACATACTTAAAGTGCACAGAACAAGTCGTGAACGAGCTCGAATGTATTGAGATGCGGATTATCAAATGCGCGTTACAATGTTTATTTATAGTATATGGTATATATCGAGTAAATTTGTGTCGGTTCTTACTTTGGCAGGTCGGTTCGGTCATGTTATTGTAATTCCCAAGGATGGCGGGCAGAACGTGCTGAAGAAAGACATTTGGCAGGAACTGGTGGTACTCGATCAAATCATCAGGGACATCAAAGCCGAATACGAGGGTGAAACGTTCACTTACCAGCAGATTTGCGCTAAATGGCTCGACGAGTGTTTTGGGAATAATATCCTAAGTTTGCAACTTATAATAGAGTGAGTGATATCACTATGATTGGTGCAATTTATATCAATTAGTGGACGGTAGTGCTGATACAACGAATATATACCACGTGGAAATGAATGGTCTTATGTTGAAATTAAAGATTAGTTGATAGACATCGGCAAATAATCGGCCCGTACTCGGTCTGTCAGACCGTAATCGGTCTGTACGAGTCACTCGTTAACTTCACTGAGAGAAAATTATGATTATTTTTGATGCCAGCGAAACCCTTTTATTATTTTAACCACAAAAGTAATCGAGAGAACTATTTTTCTAGTAAGTGTTACTATAATGTCAGTGATAATAACCTTACGTGAATGTTGCTGCTACTATTGTAATTAAAATGCTAAAAGGATATCGTTGTCACCGAAAATAATACTATAATTTTTAGTGTTACATCGAACTTTCACAATCGAATTTTTAATTTAAATTCGAATTAACGTGCCATTTTTCGAGTAAACGGTAACGCGAGTTACCTTTCTCAATGTAACCAGTTACTTGGAACAGAAAAAACTCGAATTAAAGATCGCCTGATTAACACAACCACGTCAGCGAATAGTGTATTTGTCTGCAAGTTACTCGCTAACTCGCATCGAAGTTTTAATCGGACTTTCAATTTTCAGCCAAGTGGAAAAGGGGGAAATCAGTCTCACGTTCCCGCTTACGATTAATCCGTCCACGTTGAGCCTTCTCGCGCTTCCGGTATTCTTCGGCGGAAGCGTTATCGAAGACGGCGTAATAAAATCGGTACCCTCGGTACAGCTCGCCTACTTCATCACCGTCGACAGCCCGCGACAAGACGCAATGTGAGTCCACTGTGCATGTCGAGTCTCGCTTATCGAGTTCACGAACACGTCATAGCTCGATGGCGAAACTGGTCACTTATCTTAATTACGCACCGGCAAAGATCCTGGAAGTAATGCTTACCACGAGAGATTTGTCATAAATACGGAAAGGATGAAAATTTCGTGAAAAAGATCTGATAATTTCGCGATGAGTGCTGCGGAACGATTGATTAGACAATATTTCGTTTGAATATAAACAGGAAGGTCGTGTTAAAAATTGAAGAACTATAATAAGCGATGCTTTCCTATCTCGTTTCCGCCAAACGATTCAGCACCGTTATATCCTGTTTACTTGTATACTTTATCTAGTCATATATGTGAAACTATCGTAAAATGTATTTTTCACGTTGGTAGTGTTCGGTAGTCATGATGGAGAAGGAATATTTCATTAATTCATTGCATGACCACACTAATCGTTCATTGATGGTCTCCGTGAAAATAATATTTGATTTATTCATGATCTTTGGCTCTGATCGCCTATTGTTATCATGAAAGGTATTGAAGTGCTGCAATAAAGCATATATCATAGCATATATTGGCAGTCTTCTTGCAATATTCGTTTGAATATAATCAGGAAGGTGCATCGTGTTAAAAATTGAATATAATCAGAAAGACCGTCGTGTTAAAAGTTGAAAAACCGTTTCAGCATGTATTAACCATAACCATAAATAACAGGAATAGCAACAAAGAAAGACAAACTTATGATTTCACTAAAAAATCGATTGCTTATGCGCACTCGAACGTGTATCTGTACGTGCATGCGAGTTTGATTAACACGTTCGCTACCGGAATCAAACATGTGTGACACATTGATCTCTCAAGAGACCAACCTCGCATATGCGACAGCGATCATTTTTCTTTCTATGTCTACATAAATAAATCGAGTCTATTCTGAAAAGCGAAGAAAATGCTGCTGCGTCAGTGAAAATTGACCGAGGATCTCCTTGAATATAAAATAGCAATATTGAAACTAATACACGAATTATTAAAACTATTATTTGTGCGATGTTTCAATAATATTGCCGCCGAATCGAGGAAATTCACTCCGATTGCGGCGTTGTCGACCAATTTTCTATTGACAAAACGGTATTTTCTCCTTCGTGTACACAATTACATGAAAAAAAATAGAAAAACACGAAATGCTTAGTGGAAAAAGTTTCCCCAAATGCGAATTCCTTGTCGCGAAGTTTACCGCAAGTATTCCGATTGAATTCTTCGTTATTTCTAAATCAGCGGTGCCGCCTGGGAGGAGGCGTTTCTGGAAGTCATCGGCAAGGCCGAGGATGGAGGTGCGTTCGAGCACATTAGCATCGCGAGATTCGCCTCGAGAACCCTCGAGCTGGAGCTGGAGGCCAATACGAAGACGGTCGTGCCGTACTTCACCAGCACGTTCATCATAATGGGCCTGTTCTCGGTCGTGACATGCATGATGACCGATTGGGTGCGCAGCAAGCCTTGGCTCGGTTTGCTGGGTAACATCTCGGCCGCCATAGCGACAGTCGCTGCCTTCGGTTTATGTATGTATCTGGGGATAGACTTCATCGGCATCAACCTCGCAGCGCCGTTCCTAATGATCGGTAAGTTGCCGATTTCATCGCCGATTTTCAACGCGAATGAAAGAGCGAACTTTTTACCGGGTCCTTGTGTAATCGGGACAGGTGCTTTATTTTATTTACGCAAGCTCGTGTCTCAATACTGCGGGGTCAAAGAAACAATGTATACACGCATAAATACAAGACAAACTACAAGAAAAAAGAAAGGAAAAAATAAACACGGAGAAAAATATTATATATATATATATATATATAAATAATTTTGATGTTGTTGCGAAATCGTTGTTATTGCATGCGTTGCGACAGCCATGAAAGGACGATGGCTTATTTTATTGTTCTTTAGCTGACATAACCAAATTGGCGAATTATTCGTAATCAAAGCAGAAATAGTTTTGTCACCAGGATAGAAAATATTCTTCTGAGTGAATTTAAGCCCTTAAGATATGTTGATTTGCTGTTAGAACAAAATTATATTTTCCTACATTTACTAAGTCGTTTCTACAGCAGAATAATTTGTAAATTCAACAAAATAACCCAACCTATAGCAATTAGTACTCTTAACAAATCGTTTTGCTGTCTACATAGTAACTGACAAATTTGCAACAGCATAAAATCTGCTGTGCTAGAAATGATTTCTCACCGTGTAAGGAGCAAGTAAAAGCCAGACACAAATATTGGTGCGGTAATATTACGTATAATATAAAATTTTAATTAAAGCGAATATGTAAAGTGAAATTCAAGAATCACCGAAAACAATACATTTTCATATTTACGACGGAAAAGCGAAATTAAACACCTTTTTATTATACGGACAATTTAACACTAGCAACCTTCGAACAATTATCGGACAATCCGTAACTGCAGTATAGCAATCTATAACTTCCAGAACTCGTGTCGTTCCATACACGTATATCTCGTGAATCTCTGTTAGTATCGTCTATCCAATGTTTGTCAATCGATATACTCAAATTGATACTTCGCGAAAGTTGGGCAACAATAATAACGACTGGATTCCGTCTTTTTTGCAATGCGATGCCGTAATCTCCTGTCTCGTCTGTAGAAACATGCGTTTCTACGACGATAAGTACGTTAGAACTCGCCGTCAGGTGCGTATGAGCGAAATAAACGAACTATGATTTATGTGAAAAGCGGAAGTCTTCTTTTCTCTTTCGACGTCGCGCTCGCCTGCGTCCGGCGCCGAATAAAGTCAGTCTTTACCGATAATATGCGGCTATGTTTGATTTCATTTAGCTATCGCGATTTTCAAACTGACTATTGTTTGCTCAAATTTTGTCCCGAGATTTTTTAGAATAATGATAATCCACGGATTAATCGGAACTTCAACATTACTTAATTTGTGCAAAATCAGTTCAACTGATGAATGATCGGATTGTGCAAGGTGAGATTTATCGAATTACGACATAATTTAATAAATTCACTTGGTTAATCTTAATTTCGCAAGAGAAACTGATATTATATTCAAGTGAGGAGACGTTGCACGCCACATCTTCGTAATAATCGATAGTCACGTATCATTTTGATAAAATCTCCCTAATACGAATGCGAAGTACATTGCTTCGCGGTTTTAACTTATTGCAAAATACAAGTTTGGCATTATTATTCATGTTATCTAAGAAATTAGACGCGACACGTAAAAACAGACGTGACATTCATGCGGAAAATAGACGCTGATAAGTCCAAGAATAATCACATATTAAAAAAATGCACTCCGAACACTATTATTGTTCTTGGAAGACTTACTTACGATTCACGATTACATCAAACATGAGACCAACGTGTAATATCTTTGGAATTATAATTGAGTGATATAAAAGTAGTAAAGAAACCGCACGCGTTTCAAAGGTTTGTCACGTAGTTAATTCCTGTTAAAAGATGAAAGACTCAAGAAGTGAATCATATCTTTTTGCATTTCCTGACAAATTTAGAATCGACGTTTCGTTCACACATATTTTAAGTGGATAGGTATAAAAAATAATTGTTCGCCAAATTGGAATATGAAAACATGATACGTATATATTTAGAGATCTAATATATTATATAAGTTTATGTTTTTTGATTAATAGGAATAGGCATCGATGATACTTTCGTCATGTTGGCGGCCTGGAGGAGAACGAGCATCAACAAACCGGTACCGGAAAGGATGGCGGCAACGTTGAGCGAGGCAGCTGTTTCTATCACCATCACATCCTTGACGGATATGATATCTTTTTTCATCGGCATTATGTCGCCGTTCCCTTCAGTCAAAATTTTCTGCATTTACTCAGGTAAAAAATATATCGAAAGATTTAAAGATCTTTGTATTCTATTAAAAAAAATATATAACAAGCAGAAAAATTAAAGCGTTCGCAAGAAGCTGCATCGACTTTGATTGATTTGAGTGATTTTATGACATATGTTATGCTGAAATTATAACGTTTAATCCATATTTTATCAGACATATTTTAAATAACAGGTTTCGCGGTGGTCTTCACTTTTTTGTTTCACATAACGTTCTTCAGTGGATGCGTCGCAATCAGCGGTTATTGCGAACGGAAAAATTTGCACAGCGTCATTTGCTGCAAGGTGGAGCCTTTATCCAAATCCAGTGAGTACCATAATTATTTTATCTTGTTACGTCGTTATTCGGGGCTTCTTTTACGATGTTAACTTATATACAATATATAAATATCGTATAACAAATATAATGGGTGATTTGTTCATTTAATTTAATTTCGATCAATTGTGATTTGTAATAGCAAGTTGCCAATACTTTGAATTTGAATGTCATTGTTTTTATATTGATGGTATTGCCAGTCAGAGGCCACCATTCGAAATTTTATTACGTCTGGCTTCATGACGTACTGCATGTTACATCAATAGACTGACACGCGTTACGTTTGGATATCGTTAATTCGTTAGATCACATCCTATTATGTAACGGAAAGAACTTACTTTCTCCTTATTCCTTTTAAAATATTGATACATCGGCAACTGCAACAAGAACAAAATACCGAAAAGAAGAATATCGAGAAAATTGCATATTGATATAAATTAAAAATAAGAGAAGGAGAGAGAGAAAATAATACTAATTTTACTAGATTCGCATTTTAATTTTATTTTATTCCTAATCGCGATTATAACATCACATGACGCAATACAATATTTTGTAACAGTCAACAGTAGGAAATTTCCATGTGACGGAAATGCAGTAAATAAATCTTTCACAAGAGAACGGTAGTATCGCAACATTCTAAAAATAAACGCGTTAAAATAAAACAAGAGAGATTTTTGTTTATTCAGTTAACTATTGATATAATTAACATCACAAGTAGTGATGTCAATTTCGGGTATTTTACTCGAGTACTTGAATATCTAATTTTTTATTCTATTGTTTTTTTCATATTTAATCTTCAAATCATCTTATGCATAAAAGTATTATAGAAAGATATAATCAATAAGAAGTAGATTTTTACAACATTTTTAGCTTGCATATCAGGATATCGAGGAAAAATTTTAAATATTTAAATATATTCACTTTTTGTTGACTTTAGTTTCAAACTTTTACATGTAGATCGACGTGTACAGAATATATACAAAAATATATATATAATTCCATAAAAAGAACTTTGTAGTTTAGGATATACGGATTATATTGATAGCACTAATTGCAAGTACCTCTATTTACATTTAGCAATGTGTACTTTAAATAACATTGTACGTGACATTTCAGCTCATCGGTCGTGGTTCTATAGAGTACTATGCTCCGGCGGAATCGATCCGGACAATCCTCACAATCCGATCGATAATCCTGAACACGGATGCATGACTTGGTTTCGCGATTATTTAGCGACCGCGTTGAACTATCGTCCCGTGAAAGGATTCATCATCGTCATTTTTCTATGCTATCTTCTCGGCGCCCTCTACGGACTTACAACCCTCCAGGAAGGCCTGGAACGACGCAAACTCTCGAAAGAGGATTCCTACTCGATCGCTTTCTACGACCGACAGGACATTTACTTCAGGGAGTTTCCTTATAGGATACAGGTAAGTTGAAAACTTTATCTACAACTTACGGAAGTTGCAAGTCAATATGCCGCATTATATATATAATAAACTTACTTTTCTTATTATATCATTACATCTAAATCGATCTAACTCCATCGTAACTCTCTCATATTTCATCAATTTTTACTACTTTACAAGGCGCAAATTACGAAAAATTACAGAAAAGCTTCTCCCAACACAAAATTTAATGTTAATTAAATAAATTTTTATTTCTTCTGTTTCAACGAAATAACGCGTTATGGTAGTCTGCTTTATAGCCTTGAAATTCGTTTCAAGATCTGTGTCGGCTGGTCTTTTTAGATTTTCGCTTCCCGCACGCACGAGAAATACTTCCGATAAGCGATGTAAAAGAGAAAAGAAATACTAACGTCGGAAGAACGTTCGGAGTACGTTACGCTCGGAACTGCCACGCATAATCCAGTACGCGCAATTATGTCACGTGCTCGCCTCGATACAACGCGATATCGTGCGAACAACTTTCTCCGACTGGCTAGCTTGGACTTTAAGAAAAGCAACGTTCGTTACATCACGCTCCTCCGAACCGATCGATCGACAAGAAAGACCATCTAAACGGAGAGATCCCCGGCTCGCATATAAAATCCTCGCTCTTGCTCACTCGAGCTATTTGAATCAAGATAATTTCACTTTCAATATTTACTCACTCTCACAGACACGTTTTCGTTTCTATTTTGCTCCGCATGCCGCAACAATTTCTGCGACAAAAAACACTGCAAAAAGATTATTAGGTATTTTTATTGCGTAAACAGCGTGGTTGAGCGCAATTTTTATATCAACACACTCGCTACTCACGCGTCGTATACACGCGACACGCCGATTTTCACGTCAATTTTTCACTCCTCATTCCATATAAACAAATTAAGTTCCCTTTTACACCGTTACATAAAAAGAAAACGGTTTCCCGGTTGAACGGCGAAGTGGCGAATGTGTTAATCTTCGGGACGGAATATACGCGCGCACTTTCACGCCTCGCGCGCGCAAAAGCACACGCACTAAAGTTGCATTTCACTCGCGCGACGGCAATGCGCAGCGACGTAGGTCGTCGCGCAGAAATGCGCGCCCTGAATTGAAATCGTCATGAAAAATCGGCCGGCGCCTCTTTCGCGATCGTTTCAATTAGATAATTGCGCATTTCGTAACGCAACGGTGGAGGCAATTTCGACGCGCGCGCGCGTTTCTTTGCACGGCGTTGAAATCTCTTCGATGGAGCAAAGCGAAGCCCATAAAGAGCGCTGAGATACGGTCGAACTGAATTTCACTGGCTTCTTTTTCCCCGTTGCGTCGTACAGCCCGACACATTGTAGTGAAAGTACGTTTCTCAAAGATGGTCTCGCGCTATCGCGTTTCCTCGCAATATTAATAACGCCGCCGACGTGGATTCGCGAGATCCGGCCTCGCCGAGACCCGAGGTGACTTCACGGAAACGTCGCTCACATCGTTGACGACGAACTGCTCTCTCTCTTTCTCTCTTTCTTTCTCGACGCTCGGCGTAATTAGCGACCCCCTCGCGAAGTACTTTGCGTCGAAACACGCGTCAATGTGTACGGGAACAAACAAATTGCATCATCGTGACGAAATGCGAATGCTGCGCTTCACGGAGATCCGGCAGCAGGCCGGGCCGTGAGGCACACTTTCACGTGAGGTTACTTTCACGAGGGCATCGCGGAAATCCCCAAAAAGCTACTTGGCCCACGTGGTATCAGTGTCGTTGACCTTATAATTGCGGTTACGAGTGCCGTGAAAGGAAAAGCTGCGACGACTACGGTCAGTTGGGTTCTTGACCGTGCGGAGTCTACAATTTGCAGCATTTTGTCGAAGACTCTAAAAGCCGAATGATATTTAATGCCTGGTCTTTATAGATGCACCTTTTAGCGATAGATACGCTACTCGATAAGTAAAATACAATACACCAGCAGTATGCTGGCAGATTAGCGGCAGATTCGATTAGAAAATGCCGTAGCAGATCCATAGCCATCTGCTGATGACTGTAACTCTGACAGCAAATTGGAAGAAACCGAGCATGTTCCATTTAAATGCTTCGAAATGGTAACAGGACAACAGATCTTACTCGGTTTCTGCCATCATACTCTGATAAATCCGAAATTGAAACCCGGCCAATCAGGGCGAAGCGAGCCGAGATCGAAATTAATACATCCGTCCAATTTTTAATGTCTATCTCCGCAATCTCTAATCTTCAATATCTATTCGTGCAGCACAAATTAGTTGGCTAACCGTTGCTCAACATTTGGCCAACATTGGACAACGGGTTAGCCAATTCAAATCAATTTGTGCTGCACGAGTAGTCCAATGCAAACTCTTCCACACCTGCTATATTTCTGTCAGCAAGCTGCGGGCAGAAATTTATAGCAGATACTAATTTCACAAAATTAATTTCGAATATTGCCACTTTCCGTTTTCCAATCGCACCATCGCCATTTTCCAGGTGGTGGTGACCGGCGATTACAACTACAGCGACCCGGTGATTCAAGAGCAGATGGAGAACCTGACGAGGAGTCTGGAGGCGACCAAGTACATAAGCAGCCAGCCGATCTACACCGAGAATTGGCTCCGCGACTTTCTCAGATACAGGTCGACAGAGGATAGTCCGAGCATCGACATCAACGACGAGAGTGATTTCGTCAAGGTCCTGAAGAAGTACTGGCTGTACGAGAGCAGCCAATATTCCCTCGACGTCAAGTTCGACGACGAGAAGGAGAGGATTGTGGCGAGCCGATTCCTGATCCAGGTGGTGAACGTGAGCGGCACCAATCAAGAGAAGGACATGGTGAAGGAGCTGCGCGGCATCTGCAACGCGTCGCCCCTGAACGCCAGCGTGTTCCACCCGTACTTCGTCTTCTTCGATCAGTTCGAGCTGGTGCGGCCCACCAGCATCCAATGCATGATCTTCGGCGCGCTCGTCATGATGTTCATCAGCTTCATCTTCATCCCCAACATCCTGTGCTGCCTGTGGGTCGCCTTCTGCATCGTGTCGATCGAGCTGGGCGTCGCCGGCTACATGGCGCTCTGGGGCGTCAATCTCGACAGCATCTCCATGATCAATCTGATCATGTGCATCGGCTTCAGCGTCGACTTCACCGCGCATATTTGCTACGCCTACATGAGCTCGAAGCGGACTCGACCGGAGGACCGGATGAAGGAAAGCCTATACAGTCTCGGCCTGCCGATCGTCCAAGGCGCTACCTCGACGATCCTCGGCCTGGTGGCGCTCTTGTTGGCCGGCACCTACATCTTCCTCGTGTTCTTCAAGATGGTCTTCCTGGTGATCTTCATCGGCGCGATGCACGGTATGTTCCTGTTGCCGGTGTTATTGTCCATCTTCGGGCCCGGTGCCTGCAACAGTCACCCGGACGAGCCCGAGGACGCGGAGAACGGGGCGCAGGAGAAGGAGCCGACGGGCAAGTTCCAGCAGCCCTTCGTGATCCCGCATCCTCATCTAGTCTATTACACCGGGGGCGCGGTCAAGCCGCTCCAGGACAGCCCGGCGACCAGCATGGCGGCCTTCGAAGAGCGGGACCCCGGTCTGGGCACCAGCGAGGACAGCAACTCGACCGAGAGCGGCTCCTCGCAGAGCAGGAGACGCCAGTGCAAGCAGCAGGAGCAGCAGGAGCAGCAGGAACAGCCGGGTCAGGCTCGCCATGAGATGTGGAGGAGGTCGATCGGCGTTCTTTACGGCCTGTCGCAGTTTCAGCCCGCGGCCGAAGAACCGCCGCACCCGGCGCCGGATTATCCCGGCGCCGTGCCGGATAATTCCCGGCCGTCCGGCGAGAACAGTAATTCGCGAACGGTGCCTTACCTGGGGCCTTACATCGTGTACCGTCAGCCGAGTCAGTTGCCGCGGGACTACAAACGCAGCAGATCCGCTCACAATCTGCAGCATTCCGCGTCGACACGGTACCCGACGGATCCACGGTATCCCTAGGAAGAGGAAGGAGGAGAATTTCGCGAGAGTGTAAAAAAGAAATATGATATCGACGCGACGAGAGAACGAAATAGGAAGTCCCTCGGTCGAATTCGGCCCCTTGAAGCAGGACGATGGCGATGATCAGCTGAGATATCTCGTTATCGTAAAGTCGGACGTACCCGAGATAGCACAGTTAATATTCCATAAATGTTCTGTGAATACATTCGTTACGGATATTTATATATTCATAGAATACATTAAAGCATTGTTGTATGTTCTTGGTAAATTCGGGTGACACTACCATAAATGTTCTACGAAGGTGCACAGAATGTTTCATCGAAGGCATGTAGGTGTGCGTGAAGAGGTCCCGAAAATAAAAGGCACACGAAAATACCCAGCAAACACAATGTAATATATAACATACCTGTTAATTGTAATTTTCTACTCAACAACGTAATTAATATATAACACGCGTTACATGACAGTTGTATTGTTAAGTAGGAAATTACAATCAACAGGTATGTTACATGTTACATTGTGTTTGCTGGACAGTGTCTCATGCGTGCACGCGCAGATCTCAGTTTCCAATTAGATACGCATGTCATAGGCCGATATTTACAGTCAGACCTTATGTTTAAGATCATCGTAAGTTTCTCTTCAGATGCATTGTATATGTAGATACAACGCCAATAAAATAATCCGTACAGCACTTGAAGATGAACTTAGGATGATCTTGTAAATACGAGATCTTATATAAATGCCGTCCATAGTGTATATATGCATGTACAGGATTATCTTTTTTTTTTTTTTCAGTTGGATTAATGTACCGCACACGCATGTTCAGTGAACTTTATGAATATTCTAAGAACGTTCTTTTCCATTCTGAATATACGAATCTCTGCCTGCAATATTCTATGTATATTCATAGAATATTCGATACGAACATTCCGGAATTTACGACATTCGTATTTCACACGAATATTCATAGAATATTTTGCGCTATCTGAGTAGAATAAGTTACCAAATAACACCAATACGTTCTAAGACGTAATAACAGTAATAAAGATGTCTTTTGGACATACGTGTTGTTTGATGATTAGGACAATGCGATAACACGAAGGGAGAGCAGAAAATGCGGAAAGAAACGCGAAGGAGTGAGAATCAATATCGGCTGAAAGACCGGGCTCGTCTTTTTAAATAGCACGAAATATTCTATAAATATTCTTATGAATGTTCTTAATCCTAGAATATTCGAATCGGATATTCTATGAATACACATAGAATATTGTAGACAGAGATATTCGTATATTCGTAATGAAAAGGAACGTTCTTAGAACAGTCGTAAAATTTATTTATTACGCACGTGCCATGCATCTAACTAAAGAAAAGTAATTTTCCGGAATTTACGACATTCGTATAAAGACAATCCTGTATATAAGTACACACACGTGACTTAATTGAAAACCGAGAGAAAACTGCTTTCGTGTGTCTTTTAATCCCAGAACCTGTCTACGACATTCGATGAAATATTCTATATATATTAATAGTGTCATTCGAATATATTAAGAACATATGAATGTGTGTTTTCTGCATATTCTATGAATGTATAAATATTCGTAACGAATATTCATAGAACATTCATAGAATATTCCTGAACTATCTGGGTTAGAGTTGTACGGCTCGCGATGTTTCACAGGGGCCTGAATTTCCAGAGCCGGAGTTCAATGATGTGATCTTGAAGACTTTTTATACAATAATAATGCTTATTACGAAATAATAGCGGGTTTAAGCGGCGTGAAAATTGTGTGACATTACGTTTGTAGATGATATCTTGCGATATCGATGCTTGAACATTACTTGAGGAACGAGCTATCGTAGCAGGTTGTTCACAAGGGAGATGTGTGATGTCCAACCAAGTAGGTGTGATGCACCGAAACAGTAACGGCATTCTTTCCAAAGAATTTAGGGAATGTGAACGCTCTATCATCATAAGCTATAGTCGCAAAGGCGGATCTGTCAAATCTTAAATTTCCCGAGACTTATCGATTCCGAAATCTTTAGTGTCCTAAATTCCCATATACACACACACATACACACACACACACGTCCATATTGTTACCATATATATGATTACACGATATTATAGCCGTGTAGCACTGACTGTAGCTATTCGATCTTAAGTTTCGCTCATCTAGTATGAGCGAAGCGAGCACAAAATAAGAATTAGATAGACACACATAGTGCCAGATATATGGTAAAAATACGGGATATAAATCATAACAGCTACTAGTTTTCAATCACTTGAATTGATTCATGTGTTAACTTTATATTTGAATAAATCATTCGATTCCGACCGGTAACGTGGATCCTTATTCGGCGAGAAGTGACTCATCCAATTGGCGTCGATTCGATGTTCATTTCTCGTTGAGTAGATCCTTGGATTATAATTCGATATCAATGTATTGATGCATTCCTCTATTGTCACAGATTCCAAATAATACAAAACGTCGGAGAATCATCCCGAATGTATCAGGTATGTTCTGGAAAGTGCCTTAGGACGTCCCGGTGTATCCAGAATGATCTCAGGACGTTTTCTGTTATTCTGACGTTCTTTACTTTTGTGTTGGCGTACATATTTTATGTCGCCCCTTTCGCAGCCAAAGGATCAATTTTGTAGCACTCGTGTTGTGCAATTCTTTCTGTGTAAAGATAATGCGCTCATTCGAAAGGATAGAGCCAGGATGACGATAACTCGTTCGAGCTCACGTTAGTTGCTAAGGATAGCTCAAACCGAATGATATAATGTAGTATATATAAAAAATACATACATATATATATATACATATATACATATTCATATATGCTCAATATATTAATCAAAACCAAAATATGTCTCGCGACACAACAATTAATTATACAAGGCGATCTTGTTCAATCGACATACGAATTGTTCCCGTCTCATGTCGAGAAGCATGTTGTGCCTTAAACAATTAGCAGTTTGTCGTAGGATAAGTCGGACAATTTAGTTTGGCAGATAGTTGGAGCAATGTTACATGGGAAACAAAAACTTATTCAGAAATAGTAAAGCTTCTTACTGTTTCTCAAATAGTTGTAGCTCGAAAGTTATTTACCGCGTCTTGCGGACATTTGACAGGTAATATTAAGGGTTGTCAATAATATTAACTCTGGATTAACATGTTTAGGAAGCGTCGTAAAAATATCTTAAATTCCTAAGGCAGTTTTCACACAGAAATGTTTTTCTGGACATATTTTATTTGCGAGTTTTCGCGCTGTTCAAAAATCTGTTCAACTGTTTATCTCATAATAGATGTGGAATACTCAGGAAGGAGTTAAGAAGTTGTCCTTAACGAGCGTTTCACTCAACAAATGAGCTATTCATTATGTTACAAGAATGAACAGCAATTACAATTACTTATCTTAGGGTGAGATAGTAACGAAAATACATGCGGATAAATATATCTGAAGAAGTCTTTTCACAATTAACGATGTACAGATAACTCCTTCTTCGCTTTGCGATTTCAGAGTGCGTGTTTCTTTTTCATATTTATGAATGCGAGAGAGAGAGAGAGAGAGAGAGAGAGAGAGAGAATAAGAGATAAATGATATTGTAATTAATGATAAACATGACGGTTTGTTGTTATTAGAAAGAACAATTCATATAGAAAATATATTCTGGCAAGAATCTTTTAAATTTGACTGTTTATTTTTTCTTTCGGAACCTTACTCCTTATAAATCTAAATTTTTCATATATTTTTTATACGATTGTTGTCTGTATAAAAATTGAACAGGAAAGAATCGACTAAGAAAAAGATCGATTTTCTAGAAATCGAATCGAGATCGCTCATCACTGCTTATAGCGCTTGCTCTTGTAGGCCTTCCTATATTTTTAATTGATTTTTAATAAACAATAATTTCTAGGAGTTATTTTTATATTGACATTTCATATAAATGAAGTTATTATTTATTTATTTATAATTTATTATCATATAATAAAAGTATAGTTATATTTTTTGTTCAATTATAATATTTTTCTGAGGTATTTTTATAAAAAGAGGGGCACGAGTGAATCAAAACGTATGGCATTTTTTTGTAATTTACATTATTCTTATTAATATTTCAAATCGTACGTATTTACATATTTATAATACAAAGTTCATCTGACCCGCTGTTCGGTTGCGCTACTAAAGAATAAAAATTCATTTGATATGTCGTTGAGTCGCACTATTTAAAAGTAAAAAAAATCAGATCACAAATCTAATAGAACAAGACAATCCTATGTCACATATTGTTCTAGATACGAAGAAAAGAATGTTAGATTTGCGATTAATATTAATTAATTGTTTGATTAAATAACACAGTTTTTCACAAGTTTAGACAAGACGAAAAGAATTTAGGCTTCGTAAACTAAATAACATAACGGGCCAAAAACCAAAGGCTCATCTAGGCGATAGGAATACTGTGTGAAATCTGTGAATGTGTCCCTGATCATACGTATAATGGTGTTTACAAATAAAATCACAAAATATAAACAATATATTGTTAACATTTTGCTAACTTCGCGACTTAAATATTTTTATAGATTTGACATTGTATTACTTCACGCCTAGATCAGCGTTTGACTCATATTAGGCCGTGTTTGCATTATTTAGAGAAGTCCTATTAGACATGAAGGCCTTGATCTCTCTGGTCACAACAGCCTCGAAGGAATCATCAATGCGCATAAGAAGAAATGTTCCTGACATTTCCAAAAGTAATGGAATTTACAAGTTATCTTGTAAAAAAAAAAGAAATAATGACGTTTCCTATGTGAAACAGATGTCAGGGCAATTAAAGACCAGAATTAGAGAACGTTCTATCCATCGGCCCGAAAAAAATCCATTGGATCATTTGTAATTAGCACCATATCATCATCGGAATATAACGATTTGTTGGAAGGGCGTATACGAAATTATGCGATACAGAATTTACGTAATATTTTTGTTACACATCTCCGTGTTTTACTTGACTTTACCTTTATAATTGACATTTTCGATCGTTGGCGGTTATACAACCGCTGTAGAACCTGTTCACCGAGATTTCTATGTCTGGTTATTGTTAAATAGTTAGTCGCTCAATACAACAATGATTATTGCACGCTGATAACTGCGATAAGGCTCTTATATTTGCCGTTCTTCTTTCTTACGTTTAGCTACATAAGCTATGAACAGGATCGCAAGAGTAATTAATTGCAAGAGTAATTTATAATCAACCTTTATTTAGGAATATACTCTTTGCAAAACCAACTTGTAACCAATTTTCAGTAAAAGTATGTGTGTATGTATATAAGCTGTGTTATATAAAACTTCCATAATGTAATTACACGATTTAATCTGCAATGATGCTTATATAAAGACATATAAGGTTTTTAACAGCTTGGAATACCATTGTAAATCAAAAGTATATAATGTAATACTTCACCCTCTTCTAGTCTCGATGTTAATACAATATTATATTGATAAATCGTAGGATCCTACAAACATCTCCTCCCGTTCAGAACATATTTTCCATGTTCTTACGTTTTATTAAAATAGCCATTAATTTTAAAGCTCCTGGTTCCTCCACATAGAAATCTTAGATTATGACATCAGAAATAGATTTGTAAAATGTTCCGAAAACTATATTCTTATGCTTTAATAATCAACAGACAACCATAAAATTTGTTCAAATTAATTAATTAATTACAATTGAGCAATAAATAATAGAAATTAATAAACAAAATTCTTACAAAACATAAAATGACAAATTTGTTTTGCAAGAATTTTGTGTATATACATATTTTTTTTCTTGCTTCTGATAACAATCAAGATGACTACGGGACGAGGAAAGAGGAGTTTTAATATCTTTAGACTGAAAGTTTAATAATGACAGACAAAAATCCCATGAAACTCAATATGTAAATTATTGAATATCCAACTGTTTTGAGAAACTGCAGAAAACTTCTGAGTGCTACATTATTGTATAATTGTTAAAAAGTGTCTCTAAGCATGTTTATCGATATTATCATGCTAGTTGTCTTTCCTATTTTCTTAATCTCGTTACGTAAACGATATCATGGAGTATAGGTTAAACCGTTGTACATTTTGCAAATATAAAATCTCTGTATAAATCTGCAAATTAATATTCTTCTGCATGTATTTTAGGCGACTAGAATATATGAACATATAGAAAGTCGCTACATAAAATCATCAAATTCACCATATACATAATCACCATATTCGCTTAATAAATTATTATCTCCCTCAATTTTAAGCTTTGCCTTTCCTTTCCCCTTGTTCTTCTTCGTTTTGTCGGACTTCTCCATTTTTTGCTTCTCAATGAGCAAATTGTCAACTGTAGTTTTCACTTTCTTTAAACAATGTGAGGATACTGAAACAAAAAATGTATGACCAAACATTAAAAAAAAGACGAGAAAAAAGCGTTTCATTGTATCGATATGTAAAATTGATATATCAATCTTCATATATAAGTCTTAACAAGTGTACTAACAATTAAGAGCAATGGACTTTATAAGTTCTTCTGCAAAGTATGGAAAATCTGCGTGTTTGCTAAATTGATTAATTTTTTGTGAAAGAGCTGCACCAAATAGATCAAATTCCTCTTTCGTACTGGGCACCATGGCATCGATTGATTGGCCTGACTCTTCTGTCACACCTGCAATATAAAAGGTAATGTAGTTATCAAACAATTATCATAGGTAACTACCATAAGCAATTAAATATATAACCGTATTGAACTATGTTAAAAGAGTTATAATTTGTCCATGTAATATATGCGATGTAGCAACATTTCTCCTAACTTTATGTTTTACCGTCCTAACGACAAAGCTGTTAAGAAGGTCTTATGCAATTTATTAAAATATATAGTTAAAAAAATCAATGAAACTATCTGCCGAATGCTTGCTATCTACGCAATCTACGTATTATAGCAGTACAATATTTCTAGAGAGTGACTGCATTTAATGAATTTCGTATCTTCTATTGTATATATATTATGTAAAAAATTTACATACAGATACATATATAGAAGAGTGCTTATTTACATCAGAAACGGTACAGGAGACAGATAATAGATGAGAGATAAGGTTACAAAAACTCATGTGAACACAACAATTTGCGTAGAATAGCAACTTTTATTAAAGTACAACAACATCGATAATAAATTTAAATGTAGAGCTTGTAATAAATTTAAGTGCTTGTATATATACTCTCTTTTTTCTCTCTCTCTCCCTCTTACTCTCTCTCTCTCTTTCTCTTTCTCCTTCTCTCTCTCCCTGTCTAGTACAGTTCCTGACACAAAGAAATTATTAAATTTTGTGGCTACATTTATAACAATTCGTTCTGTGCCACAACACAAATGGTTAGTTATATTAATATTGGTTAATTCCTCGTTTATTTTATTTGTATAAAAAACGATAGCTATTAGTGCTATCAGTGTTATAAAGCAAAGATACTTGTATATCCTTCCTGCAAGCATTGCATCTTAAAATGGTGTTACAATGATGATATACGCCTATATGGTAAAGCAATCACGAGATATATACATACTTTCCCAAAAGGCATCTTTACCAAGTTAAATTTTCAGTGACGTACGTATATTTTGAAAAATACTTTTTAAACGTCAGTAAAGAATGCATAAAAAGAGATTTCAAAATTGTCCAAACCAAAAAGAAACAATCGGTCAGATAATTCCCAAGATGAATTATTTTTTATCTCTTTTATGTGGTTTACGGGGACTAAAGTCTACTAAATTCGACAAACCGAAAGTTTCCATTGCCAGCCGTAAGTCTGCCTCTTCTTGCAACCTTTGGCGCCTTAACATCTCAGCCCGCCTCTCTTCCGGTGTAAGAGCCTCCTCCTTCTCCTTAGCTTTCTTCTCAGCTTCTTCCTTTGCCTTTTTCTAAAATGCAATACTTCTTACAAATGTACGAATAAAATCGTAAATACCTTTTATATTATTTTGTAAATAAAAAGAAATAAAACAAACCTCACGTTCCTCAATCCTTTCAGCCAATGCCTTTCTAGGTTTTGACTTCGCTTTTGGTACTTCCGCTGGTTTCTCTACATCTTTTTTCTCTTCTTCGACATCTTCCCAGCTATCCTGTTAGGTTATTTAATACAGATAAGTAAGAGAAATCGGTTACATTTTACATATTCTTCAATATCAATATGTATCACACGTTTTTATAGAATAGTTTTATACTCCATTAATAATGCCTGAACAAAATTTCAACACAGTTAATTAAATTTATAGGTACAATGAATGTAAAACAAATGTTCTAATATATATTTCAAAAAAGAAATGTTTTTTGTAAACATTAAATATACATCTTATATATATTTATATAGATATATACTGCTTTTCACTGTATTCTACTAAGTATTATTAAATATATATATATATATGGCTAGCCATGGAAAAATTGCATCACTTTCTATAAGTTTTGCAAAATGTGTCTATGTATAAAAGGAAATCCTTTAGTATTATCCTTTAGTAATGCTTAGAAGAATTTTCCTATTGAATATAAAATATATTTTGAAGCTTATCGAGATAAAAATGTTGTAATTTTCCTACTACTAACTACATATGTATATGTACATATATATATATATATATATATAGAGAGAGAGCAGCCAAAAGTTTTGGTTACTAATTTGAAAAATTCATAATTTCTTTTACAAATGATATATGTTTAAAATCTGTTGACAATCTCTTGGCAACCATCAAAAATATGTGGTCCGGCACTTCTCACTGTTACCAAGAGATTATCAATAAATTCAAATATTTTGAATAAGATTTTGCTTAAAAAGTTCATTTTACTGCATCATGTGCACTCATTCATTAATTTTCTGACTGATGAACCGGTAACCTATATATCAGTTTTCTGTTTCTGTAGTGGCTGCACTAGTTCTCTTTTTTTTTCTTTCTCACCAAATTTCAAGAAAGAGATGAAAAGAGAACTAGTGCAGCCAATGCAGAATCAAAAAACAAACCTTATACTATTATGAACCAAATTTTGCCTGTGTTTGTTATTCTGCTGCAAGCTGTAAGCATCATTCTATCTTCCTTTGTCACCTAGAAAACAATAAAGATAGAATGATGCTTATGACGTATAAAATGTCCAAACCAAACGCAGCATTTATTTTATAAAAATGACGTATCCCTTAATAATTATCAAAATATTTTATGATATTTTATTTTAGATCCAAAATATCAAACAGCTTAGGAAAGTTCAACATGGACTACCATATTCACTACCATATTTCTTTGACATAGCAAGTTACTCAAAAGGTATAAATTAATATCTCAATGCGTTAATATCTCAGCAATTTCCTGCTTATTTGCAGAATGGTAATGGAATTTTTCGCTCAGTTTGACAGTTTGTCTGTGTAAAAATAGATGTACACATCGTATCAGACACTCTGTATATCTATGCAGATACCATATTTATCATTTTACAGTTATTTAAGATAACGTCTATAAAGCATCGTCCGCACTGTTATTTTAACAAAAATTGCGAATCAAGAAATTACGAAATACGAATGGAATTACGAAAATTACGAATCGAGGGTAGACGAATAATTAACGTCACGAGTAGTGTTAGAATGGAGAACATGTGTTTGTTGTAGGTTAAGTATAAAGCCATACGCGGATTCGCGAGAATGTCGACCATCGCGCGAGAAATGTACGAATATTGTCATCCTACCTTAACTTCCTCCTCTTCGTCTTCGCCTTCCCACTTGTTCGTTCTCATCGCGAGGTCAAATTTCGCCTCGATATTGTCTACATCTGTAAAGGTACAAAGGCGGAGGTTAAAATTAGGCTCGCCTCAACGAATCATTTATTTCACAGATACGAGCTGAAATTACGCGTTGCTAATTAAAACGTCAACACTCGCACGTACCCCATTCCTCATCCATAGCTGCCGGCGATTATTTATCGAACGTCGTTCCTCTGGATATACTGACAAGTTGCCGAACAAACGTGGACACACCAAATACGACTGGAACGAAGCGAGCCATACTGTACGAAGGAAACGTGCCAGCGTTTTTCCATTATTCGCACGAACGGCTGTCTGCGCATGCGCGGCGACCAATCGGAAACAATAGCAGAACGATTTCTTCGCTTCTTTCAAAAGGCGTCAATAATAGGTCTGTTCTTTTAATCAGCACTTCCAGTTTTTCTAGTGGTCCCCTATATCTAGAGTGCGCTTCGAAATTACTGACGACACCAAGGCTGCATCCAAAAACCCTACTCGACGAGTAGAGTGGCATTTAATTAGGCTCATATTACACCATGGATTAGGATTGAGATTGGATTAAAATTTGACCAATTAGAGCAAAGTTCACTAAATTTCACTAAACTTAAATTCAGTTAACTTTGCACTGATTGGCCAAATTCAATCTCAATCTCCAATTCGTAATCAGATACTTTACTCACCGTGTAATATCACCCTAAATTTACGTCTTATGTTTTTGAGTCCCTATTCTTGAAATGGTGTGTATAAATAAGCGTCATTGCATGGTTATTTAATGATACGATTATACTTATGCAAAAACATGTGTACGCAACCGTTTCAAGGATAGGTGCTAATTCGTACGCGAAAGCTCTTACTACAATTTTCAACTGGACGCACATGTATGACACGCAGTTGAATAACGTAGTCGCTACTTGTTCAAGCTATTATGCCGTCTCTGTACACTTTAATGCTATGACATATTCCGTGTGAACTCAACTGTCGTGGTTTAATGTTGATGTTTTGATCCGAAGTAATTACGTGATTTCAACACAGTATATTTGGAGTGATTAACGACTCGTTCACGTACGGACTACTATTAAGAGCATTCAACGTGTATTATGGTTTGACAGTCCCTGTGTACGTTTTACGTAACGATGGATATATCAACTCCAACCGGGGTGAATCACAGTGGACTTGCTCACAGTACAGATGGATTCTTAGGCATTCCTATCGAATCTTCAGCTCTGGATGTTTTGTCAACAAAGCGAAGGAGGTGAATACCGAGCAGTTTATGCGTCGTAAAAAAATTAGGCTTCTTTAAGCATGCGTTACATTCAGACAGTAAGTAAACTATCCGGTATCGCTAAGTGTATCATTCTTTTTTTTTTACTTTAAGCTCGTCACGTACGATAAAGCGCAGAAAGTTCGACGATGAGCTGGTGGAGACAACATTTAACTTACAGCCACCCGCGACAAGTACCAAATCAACATCAAGATCACGGACGATATCTGTGTCAGCTGGTTCCATGGATGTTATGCCGTCGCAAACATTACCTACCCCGATACCAATACCGACCACCTTAACGCAATCTGATAGATGTAATCGTAGACCCACAAGACCCAGTGGTTCGAATGGTCCTGGACGCAAAAACAAGAAGAACAAAAATCACACTCATTCCATCAATGCCACTAAAGATCTCGGACGATGGAAACCTACCGATGACTTAGCACTGATTACTGGTGTACAGCAAACAAATGATTTGAGAATGGTACTTATTTAATTAGTTTAACTTCAGTTCTTTAACTTTTGTGCTTTATAATATTACACAAATATATCCTTCGTTGATATTGTAATTGTAATAATAATTACGATACAATTATAATAATAATCGTGTAATGTCAATTATGGTGTCCTGTCATCTCTGTTCAAGGTTCATCGAGGTACAAAATTTTCCTGTCGTTTTACGTTGCAAGAAATACAACAGAGATGGTACGCTTTATTATATGACAGCGCAGTTTCACGTGTGGCTGTGCAAGCTATGCGCAATTTACATCCTGAACTAATAGCTAGTGTGCAAGCACGAACATTGTATAGTAAAGCTGAGGAAGATCTTTTGGGTACTATTAAATCAGTAAGTAGTGATAAAATATTTTGACTGAGAAATTTTCATCAAGAAATTCGTTATTAATTAATGATTTAGCTCTTTATACTGTCATATCACATTGTCTTATTGTGCGAATTTTATACTTTGATCAGACTACTCATCCATCACCGGAAACATTTCAAGAATTGCTTGAAGCAAATGCACATACATTTTATCCAGCTAGGACTGCGAAAGCGTTACAAGGCCATTGGCAGTTGATGAAACAGTATCACTTGTTACCTGATCAAACAGTGCAAAGCTTACCACGTGGTGAACACGTATTGAATTTTTCGGATGCCGAAGATATGATCAATGATGCGGATTTGATAGAACCAAAGGATGAACTGGTGGATGCTGAGTTGACAATGGCAGACAGGAAGAATAAGAGAGAAATTAAAGTGTTAGAAAATGAGCTCGGTAGATGGCAGGTGCTGGTCGATAATGTAACAAGTAGTAGTCCACCAGATTTTGATAATCAGACTTTGGCCATCTTAAGAGGAAGACTTGTCAGATATCTCATGAGATCTAGAGAGGTAAGAGAGCTATTGCAGAATTTCTGTAATTGATATATATATTAGTTCAGGATGTAAATATATATATATATATATATATATATATATATATATATTTATTTATTTATTTATTTACTTATTTATTTATGTACGACACAATTTATTATTGTACTTCGAGAGATTAACATTTTATATGTTCTTCCGTATCTTTGCTTAGATCAGTGTAGGACGCACTACTAAGGATCATACTGTTGACGTGGATCTTAGTTTAGAAGGTCCAGCTTGGAAAGTTTCACGTCGACAAGGTACTATTCGTTTAAGGAACAACGGAGACTTCTTTCTGTCGTCCGAAGGGAAACGGCCGATATTTGTGGATAGCAGACCAATTTTGGCTGGCAATAAGATGAAATTGAACAACAATAGCGTAATCGAAGTAATTATCACAATTTTAAAGAATATAATGAAATCAATTTGCAGTTTTCTTTTACATTAGAACTTTCGCTTTTGATTAAATTTAATCTTAATTTCTTAATTGCTGTTTCTACATATGTTGTGTTCTACAGGTTGCAGGACTGAGATTCATATTTTTAATAAATCAGGAACTCATCTCTGTGATACGACAAGAGGCTGTCAAGTTGAATTTAAACCCTTGAAGCATTCTAGAAGACACAAAAGACAATACTAAGTCTTGTGGATTACGTTTATAAACGGAACCGCAGTTCATGATAATTGGTAAAATACTCTTCTCAAATATAATCTACTTTTTACATCCGAGTATAGCAAGTACACATTCATAGCAGTATAGGTATTATTCGCCGTATGTATATCAACATCTATAATTTACTTGTCTATATAAAAAAAAACTGATGTAAAATATATAAGCATACTTTTTTTATGAAAAGTTATTTTTCTAGAGCGAATCAAAAGCTTATAAAATTCAATGATAAATAGCGTGTATTTAATAAGGCAAAATATTTTAAGAACTTAAACGTACATATATTGCCTATCATGAAAATAGATTTTTCTATTTTTGCCATTATATATATTATAAACAGGATGATTGTGGAAGAAAAACCGCAATATTTGGAGGATGCGTTCGGGTGATCGAAATAGATAAAAAAAGTCCTGTAAACATTGGTCTGATTTTCACCTGTTACGGAGTTGCTGGCCTACGTTTAGCAGAGAAAGTAGCTGTTGAAAAATTCGTGAATCTGATTGCTCTTAGACTCAGTCAACGTTAAGAATACACACCAATCAGATTCACGAATTTTACAACAGCTACTTTCTCTGCTGAACGCAATGAGTGTTATAAATAAACGTTCGCGATGAAGACCAGTAAATGCTATGTGACGAGTTTCCAGAAAAAATAACTAAAAGTCGCGTACATACGTGTACATGCACGCTTAGCGTGGAAAAACAAGTTTTATAAGGATAAGCATTTACTTTGACGTTTATTTTCTGAAATCGCTTAAGTATTACCTACTTTCGCCATGCCCGCGACATTTATGTATCCAGAATATGTCGACATTTTCATTAATGCATATTGTAATGAAACGCTAATCATGCAATTGCTGAATATCAGCATTGTTATCCGAAGAGTGCGATAGGAGTGTATTTTCAACAGTCTTCGACACATTGTCTCCGTAACTGCTGAGAATCGGACCAATGTTCATAGGATTTTCTTGATATATTTTGATCCCTTGAACACATTCCCCAAATATCTTGATTTCTTCCCCCAACCATCTTGTGTATATATATATATATATGTACGTATATATGTATATATATACGTATATCGTATACATATGTATATTGCACATAATGTATTCATATCCATTTACATTATTAGTTTAACAAATCAAGTCGCGGTGACTTTTATGTAGGGACAAGCAATAACATACATTGAGGTGTACTGTGCATCAAGTTTTAATATATCAGCGTAAATGATACATATATAACAATTTGCGTGTATCTCTGTAATAAACGAATTATAAATTACGAGTGCGAAGAGTTAAATACGTTCATTTACTTGTATAACAGGAAATAATTGAATTTGTCTTAGCATATGCGTGCGTTCAATCTTATCATTTTGTAAAGAGAAGAAAGGAAATGCCTTATAAGATTTATATCAGTTATTAGTTGATCTCTCTCTTTCTCTCTTTGGTAATTAGGTACAGTAAATGAATAATTACGTAAAAAAAAACTTTGTCAAGCTATCATCATTCGAGGAAAAGCGATTTTATTACAACAAAATTCCGTTACATGTACGTATTAATGAGGAATTTTGTTTAAACGTCGAAACGTGAATATTATAACGTAAATTGTTCTCCATACATGACAGTCTCGTTGTAACGGAACCTGCAACAACCGTTCAACAGGATATATAACACGACTATATTAAGCAAAACGTAAGGCGATTAGCGTCGCATTTTTACAAGTCGCACGCACACACACGTGCGACCAGGTGCTAACGTGCGACGCACATGCTCACACACACACACACGCTCAGTGTATATCGGGTCACGCACACGCGCGCGTGCTTATACGTTTATACGCGACCGTTAAGGTGTTCAACTGGACTGACACAAGTGCCCGTGAACGTCCGTGGAAAAAATGGACCAATCACGCACGCGATGTAAAAAACTCCCGACGCGTGAGCGTCGCGTCAAACGCGATTGGTCGTTTTTTTCCGTGCGCGCGCTTACGTAAATACGCAGATACGTCTGGGCCTTTAAACGGTACGCAAGACGGAGCGCTTGCTTTCACAGCAGAGGGCGCGTGATATTTTTGTTGGAGCGAGCAGTCGTGTCCAATATGGCGTGTGCGAGTGAGCGATGTTAAAGTGCAGGTAAGAGACAAGGCGTGAGATACGCATATTCGGCCGCGACACCGATCTCTGCGATGAAGTCAAACGTCGTCCGACGAAGCCCTCTCGATCGCGAACATACGCGCGGTCGGTCGCGGACCGTCAACGTCGTCGCGAGCTCGCGATGCTACCCCGTGTCACTCGAGCAAAACTTTCAAGGTTTCAATGGTGATGCGTAGCAAGGTGCGTTTTCACCGTGTGTGCGCGACACGACGCGGAGGCGCGTGTATAAATTACACGGCGTTACCGTGCGCGGTACAACGCTGACAGCGTTCGGCCGTTATTACCGCTGCGCGAGAGCGAAGGTAAACACCGACGCGTCGACGTAGGCTTAACCGTAACAATGGCTCCGATAAATATGGTGTCATCTGTCAGCCCTGAGCTCAGTGCCGTGGCCGAGAGTGTTTCGCATTGTTGTTGACGGCGATCTCGTCGGCGTCTCCGCGTGTGTTGTTTCCTGTTTTGGAACGATGCGCGTTCTATGCGTACTTTCGTCGCGGAATCATTTGCATACAATGAGAATATACGGTTATATCGATGAATACGATATTCAATACCGAGAGTGTCAACTGGTAGATATTTAGGTCACCCTCATATTTGCGTAAAAAATTCCATACGCATATCCCGTATTTTTGTCGCGATTGTTGTCGGATCGATCGAGTTGCAACGCGTCGACTGCCGTAATGATATGCTGAAGGGAAACGCGGGTGTTTTGAAGTTCGTTGCACGAGGAGCGAATAAAGCTTCGTGAAGACTTATCTCTAGTGTTTCAAGCTAATCGGTAGTTGTTTATTTTTTCTCACTCCCTTCTCAACGTTTTTACACGGACGACACTGAGCGCGTGACTTAACGATATTTCATCTCTCTTCTTACCAGGTTCTCCTGCTCTTGACTAGCTTACCGGGCGATCTCTGTGTATAAGGAGAGAGAATAATGTAATTACAATAAAATCCTTAGCAAAACAATGTACAATGAACTACAGTGGAAATATGCCAGATTGGCATCAGTATAACCCGCCGCAATCAGGAATAAACGAAGTGACGTCTACTGCTCAAAATGTCAATTCGGGACACCTGCCTTTCATCTCCAGCATCAGCCCGACACAGCTGAACCACGGCCTGAACCTCAATACGGAGGGACATGAGAAGCACCAGAACGACCCCGCTTACAATCCGAGGCATTACCAGCCGCACCTGCCCGGCAACATCTCGCACGGCCACAATGCCGCCGACAACACGCCCCTGGCGTCGATGGTGCAAATGCAGAACTGCATTGGCCACTACGGGCCTTCGAATACGCGAAATCCCATGGTGGACAATCTGAACGGTCCGATGGACCCGAGGAACACCGCGATAGGCGGCTTGAACGAAGAGTTAGGTTATAGGAATAATCAGGTGCCTTTGAACGGGCCTATCTCCCACCTGAACGGACCAAATGTGATGAACATGAATGCTCCGCATCAGCATGGTTCTGTAGGACCACGCAACACCAATGTGAATTCACACCCCGCCAGCCGAGCGGGCCCGTCGTCCTTCGTCTCCTGTAAGGGGATGTGCTGTAACCCCGACCCCAGCATAAGTTACCAGCAATGGGAGAAGTACTGTTCCTACCAGAACAGCACGACCTACCGCGAGAACATCCGCGCGTCCGGCTACCAGACGGACACCCGGCGGTTCGGCAACGATTTCAACTTCAGGAAGGACAACTTCGACGGCAAGGAGGTCATGCCGCCGCCGTCCATCGTGCCTAACGCGCCCTCCACCAATACAGACCACCGGAGGAACTTCCCCGACTACAAGTACCGCAAGGACCGTCTGCTCTCGCGCAGCTACCCGCCTACCTCGGGCATGCTGCAGAACTATCCCATGCAGAACTACAACTACACGGGCGAGTACCAGAAATACCCTTACAACGTTAAGGAATACTCCAAAGTGAGCAATATGAATATGCCGAGTCAGGGGATGGTGAAGCATCAGGAGCAGGGCTTCATGGCCCAGCAGAAGTACAACAGCAAGCAGCAACAAGTGCCGTACCAGAGCGGCGATATCATGTCCAACAGCATGCCGTCCACGAGCGTGAACGCGAGCATGATGCCGTCCGCGCAGAACACCTACTTCAATCCCGCGCAATACCCGCGGAACCTGCCAACGGAGAGCGCGCACGACTGCCAGAAGGTTGCCGCCGACAACGTGCCCATGGTGAACAGAATGCCGATGTCGAACATGCATCCTCCGTCTCATTCTCGCTACCAGATGTACCAGCAGAAGATAGCGATGCAACGCTTCTCGATGGAGAATCAGCTGAGGGAGCTCGAGGCGAGGGTGCCGGGCTACCAGTCCCATCCGCGGTACAAGGAGTGTCTCGTGAAGTATCGGGAATTGTTGAAGCTGCAGCAGACCGTCACGTATCAGGGGCAGATGCAGCAGACGCCGTGCGTAGCCGCGTCGACCTCCGTCAACACCGCCGCCTCTGTGCCGCCTATAAACCTGCAGTTCGACCAGAACGGCGTGCTGATCAACTCCAGCTACATGCCCGAGGCTTTTCCGCGGGTGCAGCAGGTGTTGAACCCGCAGGCGCCGGTCGACGGCTCGGACAAGCAGAGCAAGCCGGAGGGCAACGGTATTCCCGATATGGCGAGTGTCCAGAAGAGCCAGGAACAGTTGGTTCTGCCTCAGCAGCAACAGACGCACGACGTTCACGCGGCCGCACTCTGCCCGGACGGTCTGCAGAAGCAGAATCGGTATCCCGTGCAGAAGAGCCTCGAGCCGAACGTGCAGTTCGAGGTGCAGCGGAAGACTGGGAACGAGAACTTCAACAACCTGAACGGCAGCCCCGGCGGTGACACCGCTATACAGCAAAAGATCTCGAAGGAGTTCGCGGACAAGCCGGAGCTCGACGTCCGGCAGTTCCTGGCCAATTGGGACGAGTCCGAGGACGAGGACGGCGCGAGTTCCAACATGCAGAACGTCGTCCTGAGCAACTCGACGCCGGTGGTGGTCGTGGGCTATGAAAACGTGAATATCACGGCGAAGACGTTGGAAGGTTTGGAGGCCTCCAAGCCGGAGGAGAACCAGGAGAAGAGCGATACGGTGTCCGCGCAGGACTGCCTCACGATATCGTACTCCACCCCGAAGAACGTTGAGGTCGCGAAAGACGCGTGCAAGGAGGTCGTCGAGGTCGCGAAGGAGAGCATCGTGCAGCCGGGAAGCATCATACAGTGCATCAGCAACGGGCCCGACGAGGTGCCGACGATACACATAGTCGACAATCTAGAGATAGGTAGCATCTTGCAGGTGACTAACGGCCAGGTCACCGAGACCCTGGAGAGGCAGGAGGTGTCGTTCTTCCACGAGGGCGCGGAAGTCGAGGCGAGCGCGATAGCTCTCGAGGCCGACAAGTTCAAGAAAAGCGACGCCGGCGATTCGCCGGCCGCCATCAAGTACAACGTAGACCTGGAGAAGCTGAGCAAGGAGAATTACATTGTCGAGAACTCGCCACCGAAAACAGTCGAGAGCACGTCGCAGACATCGACGCGGGTGGTCGACGACCACCAAGAGGCCTTGCCCACGCCCGCGAAAGACAACTTGGACTCCGCCGATGATATCAACCTGAAGAAGCAGAGCAGTTTCACGAGCGAGGAATCTCACAATCCGGACGACATCAGTCTGCCGGATCTACCCACGTCCGAGTGCACCCCGATCTCCACCACCCTCAACACCCCGACCCACTCGGACAGCGAGGAGTCGTCGGAGCGTGTCGAGGATCTCACGATTCCGACGAATCCGATCGAAGTAGTGCAGAACAGCCCTATAATTAGCTTCACGCAGTCGCCGATGCGCGGAGAGCCGTACGATCACTTGAACGACGAGGCTGCCGGCGCGGTAAAGAGCAAATTAGCTGACTCATTGGAGAACCGATACCAATCAGAAAGTCATTTTGATGGCGACGGAAGCAATAACACGCGCCGTCGCGACAGCGTTCTCAACGCATTTGAATTTTCTGCAGGCATCGATAAAAATGAGTCTACGGTGGGCATGAAAGGCGATAACAGGGATCGCGGAAGCCCGAGCGGAAATAACACCTTGACACGTGGCGCGAAAACGTTCCCTTTGGACGGTGAAACCGCGAGTGCGGAGATGACTGGCATGTGCATGACTTTGACCTCAGGCGAGTATGAATTAAAGATCGTGTCAACGGGTATGCAAAACAGGCCGGCGAGAGATGATAAAAATTTAACGGTCGGCCGGCGCGCGAGCAAATCTCAGGCTGCCGCGGGGAACGATGCGCGGGAAGTTCAGAAAAAATTACGAACCCTTGCGGAATCGAGCGTGGAAGCTCGGTATAATGAATCAACGGAGGAACTGGACAAGGCCTTGCGGAATATCGCGACCGACTCGGATCGGCGCGACGACGCTCCACCGCAAGACGATGCCAACTACGTCGGTTCGTACGAAGCGCGCTTGCTGAAGATGACGAGGAGCGAGGGTAAATCGATGCTCAACAAGAGAAAACGCACCCCGGAGTCGGCTCATCAGACGGTAACGAGCGCGACCGATTCGTCACTGACAAGTGACGCGAAGGGCTCGAGGCCGGTGGAAGATGGCTGTCCGAGCAAGATCGTAAGAAGTAGCCCATCTGCATCACATAGTACAAAGCATTCTATCTTAGGTAACGATAAGTTAAGGAGAAGCGAGGCGACCGACAAATTCTTGGAAGGAAATCCACCGGCGGAGAGTCACGGTATTAATAGAACATCATCGAAGATCGACGCGAGAGACTCGCGGAGCTCTCGACACGTGGGCCGACACGCCAATCGTCGGAGGTCAAGTTCGGGCGATCACGTGGACTCTCACGGCAAAAGGTGCGAAAACACTGCGGAGAAGCGTAGCGAGGCGATCGTACATCACAACAAGCATACTCACGAAGCGATGGAACATAGAGTCAAGTCTCGCGCCGTCGAGGATCTTAAAGTGACCGACGTGGCGCGCAACGAGCCGAAGACTACGATGACAACGCCGATGACTGTAGCCACGACGAGTAAGACCGTCGATGAGAACCGAGAGAGACTGCGGCTCTTGAAAGAATATAGAAGGATAAAGTACAAGCCGGCCGGTGTCGCGGAAACTCTAAGTAAGAGCAATGATACTCAGCAGGAAGTCGCCGGCGATCACAACAGCGGCAAGAGGTGTCACACTCCGGCGACCTGCGACGAACGAGCCGTGTCATTGTTGAGCGACAAGCAACTCTGCCCGAAGGACGCGAGCTTCAAGCTTCCGTCCGAGGAGCAGGACAGGAAGCACGCGATACTGAAGACCTTCGTGAACAAGAACGTCAACCCCGACTTCGCGATTCAAGTGACGAACGTCAATCTGAAACTCAAGGACAACGATCATCAGAAGGACCTGAGGGAGGAGGCGAAGAACAGCGGTGCCTTGGACGCGATCAAGATCGAGATCAATGTGTCGTGCACGGAACGGAACACGACGGAGAAGCTGCTGCACGAGAACATCAAGAACGCCGTAGCCGAGACGATCGGCCACTTGACCAGCTCGATATCGAGCGGAGCCAGGTCGTCGGGCTCGGCGAATCTCAGGGAATGCGACAAGAAGATGATCTGCGACCAAGCGGTGGATCCGCGCGACAGGTCGCCGTCCGTTTCGACGGATTCCGCGCACGACGATCTCGTGCGCAAGTCCGAGCAGGACAACGCGAAGACGACGAAGTATAAGTCCGCGATTAGCACGTGCAAGGAAAGCGTGACGAACGACGAGACGCCCGACGCGTTTAGCTCGAAAAAAAGGAGAAGCTTGTCGTCGGAACGAAAAATAATGAATAACGTATACGAGGTCAAAGGTATGTATTTATAACGATCATAGCTGATAATTAGATAGATAGATAAATAGTTTATTCCTTGATATGTCTGACATATAACACTTAAAAACTTTGACATGCTTGACATGTGATATAAATTGCAGTAGTACACTGCCGGTGTGTATATACATAAGTATATACTCGTGTATATGTATATATGTATTTATATAACTAACGAATAAAAAGGAAAAAAATTATAATTGCATAGTTAACGCAGTGCTACGGCGTGAAGTAAGAATTATAATGACAATGATAATATTGACAATGATATTAGTGATGGAGATTGTAGTGATAATGATAATAATGTTGATGAGGATGCGTAAGTGAATAGAAAAGAGAAAAAATAAAGATGTCAATAACGAATTAAGGTGAGAAAGGAAGAAAAAAAAATGATAAGAAGGGAGAAAGAAACAAAAAGAAAATGAGATAATGGAAATAAAGAAATGAAGAAGGAAAAAGAAAAATTATTACAATCTTCAATTATAAACTATTTAATTTTCTGTATAAATGTAACTGTTATTGTAAGCATGGAATCGACTCACTTTCCTCACTTTTCCTTGCTTATTTAACTTCTCATTTTTCTTATTTAAAAAAAAATTGATTAACTTTTTTACTCTTTTCATACTTGAGCTGAGTCTTTTAAAGATATCGATAGCAAGAAATCATGTTTATGCTTCTTTGACCTTTTAGTGTTGAATATTTCCAGCACAAGCAATCCGCGTGGATGGCACGCGCCTAACGGTTTCGATGGAGACGGAATAATTTTTTTCACTAATGTAAACTCTGTCGATTGAATACGCAAAGCGTAACTACTTGAATAATACATTAATTTAACATTAAATTTCAAATCCACTAAAATCAAAAGTTCATTATGGTGTGGTAAATCTCAAAACAATCATCAATCAAGCTAAACGCATATATGCGTCCATAGCACTCAAAGGGTTAAGCAAAACAAAATTTTCCAAAAAAATAAAAAATAGCAACGACTTCGACGACGCAATGTTCGTAAAGTGAAGAAATGTGATTTTATTTTTAAAGCTCCTATGTCCTCACTTTGGCACCTTGTTTGATGAAGCGTCAGAAATGAGAAATCGTATGCCAAAATATATTATGGTATACGTGGAAATTAAAGAATATATGCGTAAAATGGCACTCGTGATAAATTTAGCATATTTGTAAAACTGTTGTTACCCGGACGCTTTCCTTTAACCTGAACAATCAATAAATAGCCGAAAATTAATGTAACATACAATTTACGTTTTTAACTTATCTTTTCTTGTGATTTCTGTAACGTTAATTTTACGGCTATTTATTGTTCAGATTAAAGGAAAGTCCGGACATTTTTATAAATATACTGAATCTATCATGAGTGTTATTTTATGCATATATTCTTTTATTTTCACGTCTACTGTAATATATTTTGACGTACGATTTCTCACTTCTGACATCATTAAACAAGGACAGCCAAAGTAAGAACACAGGAGCCTCAAGTTATTTTTATCAGGCTTTTCAGAAAAATAGACAATGCCTGTCAGGAGTATACTTGACTGTGTTCTTCAAATTATGTAATCGAATCGTTTTGTCCGTGTTTGTCCATATTATTATTGTTTGTCCACCAAACCAAAACAAGTTCTTAACAAACAAACCCAAGAAAATGACCATCAAAATCATACCTGTGTTTTTTTTCTTATTGGATATTATTGAATATCATCGTTAAGAAGTTAATTAATTAGCTTATTTTCAACGGAAACCCATAAATTCAATGTTTTTTATTTCTAAAAAAATTTCTTTATTTTTGTTTGACGAAAAAATCTCGATTGTTCCAACATCCTGGAAATATATTGCAAAGTAGCTTAACTGGGCTCAAGTATTGTTTTTTTATTTTATTTTATTAAATGTGTCAGAAATGAGAAATCGTCAGAAATGAGAAATCGTATGCCAAAATATATTATGGTATACGTGGAAATTAAAGAATATATGCGTAAAATGGCACTCCTGATAAATTTAGCTTGGAAACTTGGAATAAAATTAGTTTGGAAAACACGAAGATTTAATTTTTTTTCTTTTTTAAGAATTTTATTCTACCTGAATATGTATTTAAGACTGAATTCGCAATAAATCGTAAGTTCTACATATCATATAACTTTTTTGTTCATTAAAATTAAAATTTTGCTCTTTATTGGCTTTTAATATACAGTCAGTGTTTTGAATCTTTTAAAAGAGTGGTATAATAGATAAGCAATTTTAATTTTGACAAATCATTTAGAAGAACCTTATTTTTTAGTTTCTTTTTTAAAAACCGACTCACTATTTTCTTACTTTTTGAAGAGTGAAACTCACTTTTCTCACTATTTTTGACAGTTAAACTGCTCCTATATTGTATTGTTATTTTATCATATTGTACTCTCTATTATTTTATTTTATGTTTGTACACATGTATATTTCTGTCCTTTTTTTTCTATTTATCGCGTATTTTTTTCCTTCTTCTAAAAAAATATTTTTTTCTGTTAATATATTGATCGCCATGTTGATTTCCATTGAATATTTCAATGCTTAATTTAAACATAAGTCACCAAGGATGCGGTAATTAAATGTAATTCACGATGCATATATTTATTAGCCCATTTCATTTGCTGTCTACTTAATTTAATTTGTTGTACGCAGTTTATACATTTTATAAGTAAATCAATGAGACATGGCGATAATAGTAACGCTAGTCACCGATGTCTGACGGTCTCTCCTTCTTCCCCCCCCCCCCNNCTCTCTCTCTCTCTCTCTCTCTCTTTTCTCAACCTGTTCATGAATGAATAAATATCCATAATTATGTGAGATCTCATGATAACATAATATTACGATAATTATTCTCACCCATCAGGACGATGTTACGAGATCATGTTTTTTCAGATAATGTCAATGTCGAAACTGAATCGGCACCGAATGTCCCGGAGATTTCGAAAACGGAACACGCACCGATCAGACGGAGAAGCGTGCATCAAGAGGCGGACCAAGCTCGAAAAATCGCCTCCGCCAACTTTCCGCCTAACAGCGAGGAATCGAAAGCCTCTTCGGATAATCCACTACACACCGGCTCGACGTCGAGGGGCGCCAATACGCAAAAGAAAGATCACCAAGAAGCAACGACCGCTTTCCTGTGCAGGAACGCGAGAAATCCGCAGGACAGTGTCGGTTCCAAATTAAACGCGGGTGCGTCGACCTCTTCGGGCGCAGCGGATCCTGACTTGCAGAGCGCCGCTTACGGCAATAATTCCACGCATTTCGACTACGATCACTTCGACGTCGCCCCGAACGAGAACACGGACGCCGACGACAAGCGCACCGACAGGTGGAAGCGGCCGAAGAGGGACGACGGTAGATTCAACAACCTGGACCTGTACGATGCCGCCAGCGTCTACATGAACCCGATCTTCTTCAATGCGGACGAACTGGAGAACATGAACACGGTGCCCGTGTACACCACGAAGGACGGGAAGATCACTTACAGTCCCAATCCGCGCTTCACATACCACGAGTTGCTCATGGAGGCTCGCACGAAGGAGGGCTACACCCGCGAGCCGTATTTCGCGAAGTCCCCGTCGTTCGACTATTACAATTGCTCAAAGTTGCGGAAAGTGTTCAAGAGAAACCGCGACTCCGTCGCGGTTAGGAAGCGAGAAGTCGATCCTGCCGACGTCAAGCCGCAGTTCGTGCCGAAGCACGTGGATTACCTGCCGAACAAGAACACCCATCACGCGAAGAACAGCCGGAACGCGCTGCATCTCGAGTTCTTCAACGACAACGCGGACAATTTGTACACGGGCAAGGGCGATCAGCAGGAGGGCAAGGAAACCGGCAAGAAGAGCGTCGTGGACCTGGGCTTCCTCGAGAAGCAGTGCAACCCGGACGACGAGCCTGGGCCGAATATCAAGCACTGCAGGACGAAGGCGCTCGCTGAGAATCTCGACTATGAGAAAGGCTGCAACAACGCGAGCTCCATGTTCGACCCGAATGCATTCCTAGAGCCGAGGGCGCTCTGCTGGGAGGAGACCATGGAGTCGGTCAAGTCGTACTCTTCCCACATCGACCGGAGGAACAGCGGTAATCGCAAGGAGCTCAACTTCAGCGAGATCTTCGCCAAGCAAAAGTGCCTGGAGTCCGCTTTCCCGTTCCTGCACACGGGGCAGGTATCCCTCGGCGGTGATCACGGCGATCACAAGGCGAGTAATGACAACTGCGACACGGCGAGCGAGTCGCCAACGTTGGGCCGCACGAGCGGCTACGCCAGCGACGATTTGCACTCGACACGGCACGACGATTCGCGCTGCGAGCAATCGGACACCGTCGCGTGTAACGACCGGGTGAATACAAATGATGATCGGAGCTGCGTGTTGTCGTCAACAACGGGCAACGTTCGTGAGAAATCGCCGAGCGCGCACGATGCGTTGTTACGCGATGAATACGCGAAGGAGCAGCGTTCGCAGTTCGACCAGGTCGATATCGCCTCGACTGTGCCCGCCGATGAGGTACCGCCCTGTTCTCCCGTAGCTCCCGTGGACGATGAGGTTCACGCTCCAGAGAAAGACGAGTGCCCTGCGAGCCTCGTCCGAGACTCAACACTCGCGGAACCCTCGGTGGCCGATAATCAATCATGCCTTCCCTCGAACGAAGACCGGTCCAGCGCCGAGGGGGATGCGGTCGTGAAGGAAGCTTCGGACGAGAACTCTGCCGAGGTCACCAGCCAGTTGGAATCGAGCGCAGATCGCGACGGTCTGCCGGACGAGCGGAAGTGCGCAGAGACGGTGGAGGAGCCAGCCGTGTCCGCTGCGGACGACGAACGAGGAGCCGGCGAGATCGAGGACTCCGCGAAGACCGATCCGGGCTCCACCGACGAGGTTGTTGCGCGTCAGGAGGTCTCGAGATCGGCTCCGGCCGATCGCCGGGATGAGGAAGACGTTCCTCCTGCCGCGGAAGCGAGCGTCGCGGCCGAGATCTACTTCAACGATGAAACGAGCGAACGGGACGACAGGAACGACAAGGAAAATCCCACCGTGTGTAGGGAGGAGGAAACTCTCGCTTCTCGAGACCCAGCCGATGTCGCGGCTGCGTCGCTCGGCGAAGAGAACGACGACGAGCGGAAGTCTCGAAAGCCGCGGGACAACGAACGATCAATCGGGAGCCCGCCGAAGGAGCCAGGAATCGACGAGGTGGACGACTGCGGTGTGCCCGCGTTGTTCGAGCCAGCCGCCACGTTGGGCTTGCAGCCATTGGTGCAGGAGGAGGACGTCTGCGACATATTCGCGAATGAAAAGCGCGAGCAGAACATCTCGGAGTTCACGGTCATCAAAAGCATCATCCAGGCCGACCAGAGGCAGTGCGAAGAACCCGAGACGAGGGAGACCGTCAAGGACCACGACAGCATGATCGACTCCAAGTTGCTGTGCATCGACTCGTCCGATTGCGGGATCTACGGGGAGGCCCGGTGCGCCCTGATGCAGATCACCGAGCACGGCTTCACCGAGGACGACAGCATGGTGCCGATGGAGTGGGAGACCAGCCAGATTCAGGAGGACGCCGTGAACCGTCTGTGCGGCATCGACGAGTCGTCGATCGACTTCGCAGCCGCGGCAAATTCGCTGCGCAGCGAAGACAACTCGCTGCTGGACAACTTGTCTCTGTCGAGGTCCGCGATGAAGGAGCCGCGGCTCTTGGAACTGCCAGCCGAGGTAATGAACAAGGCGGACGAGCCGATCGCCGTGCCGACGGCGACGCCGCCGTTGCTGACGTCGCCGCCGTTGCCGGTGTCGCCGCCGTTGCCACCGCCGCCGCTGTTGCCGGCGTCACCGCCGTTGCTCCGGAAGATCGAAGCGACGCCGTGCCAGGAGGACGAGGAGCAGCAGAAGGAGCAGAATCCAGTTTCTTCCAGTAGTTATGAGAAAGTAGCGTACCTGAGCGCGACGGATTGCAACGCCAACACGAAGATCGTCCCGAAGCTCGTCATCAAGAAGACCGAGACCAGCTCGAAGTGCGTCACCAAGGTGAGTCCCTCTTCCTCCGCGGACAACAGTATCGGCAAGTCCGCCTCGAGACCGAATTGTCAGCCGAAGATACCCAAGATGATCATCAGGAACGCGAGATCTCGGCCGGGCACGCCGTCCATCGAGGCCGTGCCCGACGAAGCGTCCACTCAGACGAGCGTCCGAACGTTCATGGACGTTCTCGAACGGACCGTGATTGCGGCGCACGAGGAGCTGTACGAGAACAACTCCGAGAGCTCCCTGCAGAGTCCGGCCAGCTACAAGATACCTAAAATGAAGATCAAGCTGGACGAGAAGCACGCCAACAAGATCGTGATGGCCGAGGAGACCGGTGAGCTGGGCATGAAACGCAGGAACTTGAAGAAGACGATCCCGAAGGTGAAGATAAAGAACTCGCCGAGGTCCGAGTCGTCGGACAACTCGATCTTCAACAGCGCGACTCCTCAGGAGTCTTCCGGGAGCCTGGAGAGGTACAAGGAGAAGATACCCGTGTTGAAGCTGAGGAAGCAGGAGAGGAACAGATCGTCGTCCCCGGAAGTGGTGCGGAAGAGGCACAGCTCGAGCCACTCGGACGTGTCGGCGAAGAGGTACAAAAGATCGGGCCGCGACGGCAACGTGGGACACTGCACGCGGCGCAGCAGCAGCGACTCGGCGCGCACCGCCGCGGCGGAGTGCGAGGTTAAGAGGAACGCCATGATGTGCATCTCGGAGAAGATACCGAAGGTCATTATCAAGAGGACATCGGCCAGCGCGGAGTTCAAGTGCGAGCTGAGCAAAAGCGGCAGGAGCGTAATCGCGAAGAGCGCCAAGTGGCAGCCGGAAGTCAAGCTGGAGCGCTACCGAATCCTGGACAGCATGGCGAAGGATCTCAAGTCCTCCTCTTCCTTGACCCCCGTGTCACTCCGAATCATAGACAAAATATTCGCCAGTCGCCGGGACGACTGCCGGTGGAGGAAGAGGCACAACCTCCACAAGTTGTCCAGGTCGAACTCGACGTCCGACCTGCACCCGATCAGGTGCAAGCAGAGGAGGATGTCGGATTACGACTGCGTTTCCAAGGACGCCGAGGGCGGCAGGAGCTCGTGCTCCACGCCGAAGAAGAGCGCGTCCTCCGGAGGTCACGGGAAGTCGACCGACGAGCGGCGGAAAAACGACAAGCGTAGATCGCGCTCCCGCGATAATAACTCGCGAACGGAGGCGAGCGTTGACCCAGTCGAGAAAAAAGTTGTCGAGAAGGACCAATCGGCCGTCGGAAGATCCGCTTCCGAGAAGGTCACCTCTCAACGCGACCAGTGCAGGGCCGACGATGATGTCAGGCGAGAGAAAGTAGCGAAGACCGAAGAAGACTCGACGAAGCTCGAGCGGAAGACTTCCCCGAAGCATTCCAGCACCACGGACTTCAAGACCGCGCTGAAGGAGTTGAAGGCGACGTCCAAGGCGGAAAACTGCTTCGTGAAGTCGCCCGGCTTGAGCAGAGTGTTCTCTGAAGAGATCGAAGAGCGAACGGAAAAGGAGCAGAGGAATGAGGACGGTCCTCTCCCGTGCAAGGACGGCGATCAAGTCGCGATGAAAGAGCGACTGGGATCCAACGATATGGATATCGAGTGCACTCTGCAGGACGACGCGATTTCGCTGAAGGAGGGCATTTCGAACAATTTCGAGATGGACAGCAACGCCGTCATCAAGATCGAGTCTTCGGACGAGAGCCAAACGACTATAGAGATCTTGCCGGCTTCGCCTGACGACAGCCGCGGCGAGCTGGAGGGCCACGTCATCGATGACGGCGACAGCGAGCAGTTGTATCCGGCGGATGCCATTCCAACTCAGTTCGAGCTGGAGCTAGAGATCACGGACAACAGCAACATCGACCTGCTGGATGTATCCATGTCGAGGCTCAAGCCTGTCGGCTGTTACAGTTCTCGTCACGCGTCCACTGAGGAATGCGGCAATCAGGCCTCGAAGGTAAGTTGTTACAGCAAACCCGAGCTTCTGCATCGCGACAAGAACTCGTCCGCGAGAGGTGAACGCGCGAAGGTCGAGGTCGAAGAGATCCCTCCGACCTTCCCGTGCGGTGAAGAGCGAACGGACTCGCAGACAGCGCGGAGGGAGAAGAAATTCTGCTGCAACGACTCCCTGATAAAGGAAGTCTTGGCGGCCAAGGAGACCTTGAAGAAGTGCCTCTCGAGATGTGAGAGCGGCGCGAAGCCAAAGACATTCGCGGAGAAGGAACAGAACTCGAGTTTTGATCTCAAAAGTCTCTCAGAGACGCATCCTAAGTCAAGTGACGCTCTTCAAGGTTGTCGCGGCGCCGTCGCGCCTCAGACGGGCTCTGCGGCCGTAGCCAGCAGGCCCAATAAGACTGAGAGTATAGCTAACGCCGAAGAGTCTGACAAGAAACATTCCAAATCGAGCAAAAGCGTGTCGAACGTGAACAAGAGACCGGCCGACGAGAGGGACGAAGAGCTTCGGCAAACCGGTGCGGATACCAAAGGGCGGGCGACGGAGGAGGCGCGCGAATGCACCACGATATCGTTGAAGGCGTTCAAGCGATTCAGCCAAGCGGCCGCGTCGCGCGAGGAGCCGCCACGCGTGATAAACTTGAGCGAGAAGAGGAAGAAGAACCCAGGGGACCAAAAAGACACCGTGCCTCAGTCACCGCGGAAGGAGGAGGACGGCAAGATGTCGTCCTACAAAATTCCCAAGATATCGAGAGCCACGGATCGTAGGAGCAAGGAAGCCAAGCCCAAGGAGGACAACATGCCGATACTGGAGCCCGCGGTCGTCGTGAACTTGGACTCTGGCTTCGACAGAGAGAGCTCCAGGTCGCCGCCGGTGATAACGAATCAGGATAGCGGAGACGCGTCCAAGCTGGCGAACAACGACAAAGTCATTACGTCGGACAAGGTCGACATGAAGGACGTCCATAAGAAGAGCGAGATGTCCATCGCCGATTTCGTCACTCAGTTGGCTTATCACGAGAAGGTGAGACGGTCTCTTCGGTGTGTCTCCCTCCGGGTAACTCCCGGATACTTTTAGCCTGTTATCTCATTTTCGTGTTATCGTAGGCGACAATAAAGCACAGACGGTACTGTAATTTATGCGAGAGGTGGTTTCCCACTTCGTCGCGGCACCGACGCCACTTGGCCGGCTATCAGCATCGTCATATAGAACTAACGCAACGCAGAAGCATCCATACACTGTTCATGCTCTTCACGGGCAATCCTTGCCCCAGGCTAGTGCCGGCGAATGTCGTGCGAAACGATTGCGCCGTGGGTGAATTAACGCCCTTGCAAATCGCGGTGCAGGTGGGTCGCCTTGTCCTTCTATTTCTCCCCTTTTTTTGTTTTCCTTCCGCCTGGTGGAATTCTTGACGACCGTGACGTGTCCCTGTTATTACTTTGCATTCCGCCATTAGTATTGCTAATTAATGTATGACAATGCACGCAACGTACGTTGCGTTGCAACACGGAAATGAATATTTACACGGATATTCGAGCGTGATAAAACGATTGTGTTCTCTTTCCTCAGGATGTCACAAAAAGTTTCGACCATACCGAGCAGAGTCCGAAGAAGCAGAATGACGTTGACAAATAATCGCATGTAAGTTACCCGGGCTATGCGTATACAATTACTGTGATCATAATTATGGCTTACAGTGCAGTCTCTCCTACGAGCATCATCCGCAACCGATAACTCAAGGATGATACGAATATATTTTGTATTCTCAGCTAGATCGGTACGCAGCTCACAGCTGCTACTGTTAATGGCGTCGGCATCGTAACTTTAACTGTTAGATAACGAACGCTTCACGGAGCCCGCTGAATTAGCTAAGTCAACTGATGTGGGTCATCATTAACAGAAAGTTACCCGAAAGACAATCCTAGATTGCAATTAGATGTTTAGCCAAAGACTTGAGACAAAGCTGTAGTACACGTTATAGATTATTTACACCCTTCAAAGACTCGGATCTTTTTTCATTTGTACAAAGTTTACGAGTGATTCAACCGCTGAATGTGCTCACTGCGAATTTTTATTTATATTGAAAGAATCTGAAGAGACTTATATATATAAATATACATACAACATACGCATTTATATATGTGTGTGTATACATACGCATATATGCATGTACATGGATATACATAAAATTATATTCGTCATTCCAGTTTTCGAAAAGGAAGAAAGAAAGATATGTATATCGACGTCATGTTTGAAGAATGTGTATACGGTTAAAATGGTATAAAAATGCGTATGACCGTGCCTCTATTGTTGTCTGTGATGATAATAGAGACATTGTACAAAAAAAAAAGATAATGAAACATTCCTATATTATACATATGTACGAAAAAATCCGTGCTGTGAGATATTAAGGTGATTTATCTTGCGTAGTATAAAGTTTATTTAACACATAGCTGTTTGAAATTTATGTATAAAACTATCGATCTATATCTTCACTATGTGTTGCTGTTAAATACACTTGAAGTGGCTGGTGTTTTATTATTTTCATAGTTTCTTTTAAAGTTACTATTGTTTAACAAATTTTATTTACAGCACTTTTAATATTTTATCGGTGTTATTTCAGATGTATGTGTGTGTGTGTGTAATGATATGAAGTCATGTGTCTCACGACAAGTGAGTTTTACACACGCACACATTCATTGAAAATATCCATGAGTAACACGTTAAACGATTAAAGCTTACTTTTATTGTGTTATTGTTGTCGTTGCTATATTTATTGAAACTACATTGTTACTACGCAAAATAAACGATGTCTCATGGCCCATGCTATAGTTGTTAATGCGAAAGCTGTGGTGTGCGTTATAGAATATTGACGAAGAGGAGCTACATCCAGCGCTATATTAGGCATTCATTGATGATGAGTGTATATGTTGCCATAATGCGGAGGCAAACACACGTGATATTAATATTAGAGAAATTCCGAATGTGAGCACTTTGAGAGACGCCAATCTCAATCTGCAATATGATTTCTTTGTACAAAACCACCTAAAAAATTTAAACATACATATTACATTTCGTGATGTGCACAGTGTTCAAGCACTGGATAGTGATGCTCCGCATGCAACAACCTCAAAATCTCCGTTGACGCAGATTTTGCATATTATTATTATTACGGTGATACTTTTAGCCTCTCCTTTTCGCGTGTCTCGCACTTAATTTAAAAGCTGAATATACACGTATACAGATATATTTAGTTATATCTGAATATATCGATAGCGAGAGATAACAATTGTGAGAAACTTTGCACTGTACGTTTTAACTAGAGTGTGAAGACGTGTGTCGGGGATAAAATAATTCCTTAAAGCACTAGTTCCTAGCTTTAAAACGGGGTTAGAATAGATGATATAACTTGTTAAGAGGCTATAATGAAACGTTATATTAATACAGGGTTTATCGATTGTATTCGACAATCGTTTCACACTAATTTCTAATTTATCATACAAGATTTAATCGTCTGAGTGAAAGTGTTTTCATTCAATCAGTTCTAGTTCTCGACCAATTTAACCAAATGTAGCAATTAGATATATGAGTTTATGGATTGTTACTACAATTTAGCTTTTGTTTTTTTTCCTTTTTTGTTTCAAGTGTTTTAGATTCTATTCGCACGAGTGCCTTAAAAATACACCTAACAGTATTCGTTGTATATCGTGTTATATATATTATATAAAATATATATATAGAGAGAGATATATCTATTATATATATACATATAAATATTATATATACATACAAAAAATGAATATATATTTGTACACTTGAGCATGTTTATACACAAGTACATAATTATGCCTTAGTTATCATACACATACACACACAAAGTATATTACATAAAATATATAATTATTTTTAAATTAATGAGATTGAGAGNTTACTGTTGCCATTAAAAATGATGGAAATTTTGCTATCATGTTAAACAAAATCTAAAGTATAATCGTACTGCCTCATTACTGCTATAAAAGTTAATATATATTTTGCATATAATGAATAATATAATAATTCGGCACCGTTTATTTTACTGCACTGATGAAAATGCATAATCGCTATATGTACAATGACTACACTATTGTAGCAAGACGATAAAATATATACAGAAAATTTTACAATATGAATTGTTATTAGCGAACGGATTGTTCATTTTTGATAAATCTGCGAATACTGCGACATTAAATTTAAACATATGCAGAAGCTCACAAAGATTTATATCATTGAAATATATTTAGATATGTTTAAAAAGAGAGATTTTTTTTTCATATAGGTACATAATATAAAGTAAAAGTGTAGCATACATCTTTTTCCAAATAATATCAAGTGGAATTCAAAAAAATGTCAACAGAAAATTATACAATGAAAGTATATCCTATACACACAGAGCAATTACAAAAATATAAAATTTAATACAATGAATTGTTTACAAAAAACTTTGATTTTCTATATAAAACAGTTCCACATGAATGCCTTTAACAATTAATCTTCGATGAATGTTGTTACCCTCCATTTGTTTCTTGAAGATGAATGGTATCTGGAAATCTGTAGTACAAACTACATCAAATATAATGAAATATATGTTAATGTTACATTATAATAATTAAATATATAAGAGAGAATATTTCTAGATTAAAAAGATATAGAATATATAGTATATATAAAGTGTTGATTAAACTCAATGATATATATAGAAAAAATATAAAATAGTACACACACACACACACTAATATAGAATAGTACACACACACATATAAAAGATATTACATATATTCAAGTTCTACTACGCTATAATTTAACGAAATCATATAAAAAAAAACGCTGCTGTGTTTAGTTTGTGCTATTGATTATATTGAGGAAAAAATATATATGTATACAAAGTTATAAGTGTGTGCTCTTATAACTAAGGCTTTTTATGTACTTACATCATTGTTGTGTGCTCTCGATGTGCCTAAATTTTAAAAAAACGTTACATGCATCACACACGTCCAAGCATACATATTTGAAGATTTATGTACATAAGATATTACATTGTATAAGAAAAGTTCCTCGAACTGTGTACAGATATCAATACTGTATATTAGACCCGTGTATTGGTACAGCGAAATGCGTATTTTCTGCTGAATGGAAAATCAACCAGAACTTTTAAATGCCTTTAAATGCCTTGTCCGTTAATTAACACGTAATGTTTTGCGCCAGTATTTACTGACGAAACAGTACTGTAATATTGCATCATACATGGATACGTTACGATTGTTTATTGAATTTCCAATTGTGCAATAATCATGCGAGATGGCGGATGCATTTCAAAACGAATGAATTCCTGTATGAACTTAACAGATAGGGATTATTAACTGCATATTTGAAAATTAACGAAATTTGCCACGTTAACGAATACTTAATCCAGTTGGACGAATATGTTGGCAGTAAATTGGATTTCTGACTTCCACTAACGTAAATCTACCTAAGCTCATGCAGGACTGTGTTTATGAGTACTGAGAGATCTTCGTTAGATAGTTTATACAATATAGCTCAATAATTCGCAAGTTATTTGTATTCGGTTATATGCTACTGCACTGTATCGTATCTTATATATATATATTTTTTTTTGTCTGCATTATTCACAAAAGTGTACGTTGCATTTGAATGAATTATTACTTCCTCTTTTAACACGTTCTTAAAACGAAAATCTCGAAATTTATATGCCTTAATAAGAAGTCAGATCTGATGTAAAGATCTACAAACGAATTGTACATATTAAAAATCGTTTGTTTCCCCGAATTATATATATAAATTTTATATATAATTTTATGTGTTATATACCTGTTTATAACTTTATATTCTACGGTAATTTTTTCAAAATTTTTTTTGAATTATTCATAAAAGAAACTTTGATCGGAGCAGACTATATTGTGTTTATACAAACATGTATATGTAGATGTACAAATTCTTGAATCCATGTTAATCAATTAAAAATTTTGCCTGTCTGCTAGAAGGATCTTATTAGATAAAAAATTGTAGCTATATATACATTAATATATGGTCATTATTATATTTCTTAGCACCAAAAGCTAATTTACATTTTAGAAATAATTTATACTGAGAAACGAAACAGCATAATTCCAATTACAAATCAACTGCTGGTGTAATAATTAAGTGATGTCATCCGTTGAAAGTTATAGATTTTTTTATCGATATTAATTTATAATTATGAAACCTTATATCATTCGCAAATTTGTGTATACAATATGTCGTCGCTTTACCGCAGTGTGTGAAAAAAAAATATCGTACTTTTTGCGATTTATAATTAAAGAAAATGCGATATTTAATAGGACTTACGAGAAATCAGAATTCTTGCTTGAGGGTGTCGATGGGATTGCAATGAACTACAAATATGTAATCATTCCATGAAAATGTAGGATACGAAAACCTGTAAACTCTTTTAAAGATACGATTAGTTTTACGATACGTTAACTTTTCTGTTGTTGTATTTACACGTACTTAGGCTATGAGAGTGTATAAAAAGTTCAAGTTACTATAGTCAAAGGAAAAATAAAGAGTGAATAAAGAGTGCATGAAGATATTAATATTACGTTGTTTTTTTATCGTATCAATTTTCACGATTTTATCTCCCTCGTTTATCCATTTGGGTAGGTACATCGTTCATGAATGTTCTCGCACGGCGCAGCATCCACTTTTGAAAAAGTGCGCGAAATTATATCTTCAATTATTGGACTTCGGTCTGAGAAAAAAAACTTCAAGAATTGCGTTCAGTGAACAAGGCGATCTGTGTGTCAGTCAGTAATTATTGGATTTTACCGTTATACCTCTAAATTTAGGCCAATGACATTGAATAACCTCATCGCCGTGTCTTCCGAACGCAGCTAACGTGTTTCGGCACATCAGCAAAAAACGTTCTTGTTTACGACATCGAGTATATAAATGAAATAACGCAACCGAATTTAGTCGTTGCTTATTTGCATATTCAGCTGAAATTTGAAGGTACGTACATCAAACTGACATCATTCATCTACCGATTGTCCTGCTGACTGAATCTTTGTTCATTGTAATTCGGATACAGATCGGTAAGGATCAGGAAAGACTATTCATTTGATTCATTTGATTACTCAGTAAAAAAGTGTTTGAATTCCTCTCTGCGAAGTCGGTTAAAGTTGGTATACGCGAAGAGCCACCAAAAGGTCGTGCGTAATCAACGTATATAATGGAGAAAGACATCATAGTTACTTGTCCATATAATAAATCACATCGTATTCGCCGATGTAAGTTAATGACCCATTTGTTGAAGTGTAAGAAACAAAGTGGTGCAACGAACAAAGTAACGTGCCCATTGAATGGTATTCATATAATGGATCCTAATGATATAAAGGTGTGTATTAATTTATGTGCAGAGCACTTTCAGCATCTTTCTATATTACACAGTTATAGTCTACAAGTGCTAAGAAAAAGTATCATATGAATATACTTGAAAATTACTTGAACATTTCTTTGTGTTTTTACCCAGGCTGATATTAATTTTGTAACATATTTGTGAAATATAGGATCATCTTACATCTTGTTCAAATCTTTCATCCTTGGTAAAAACTAATGTTGTTAAGGAAGAGATAGACAAGGAATCTATTATCAAAGATGATACATACAAATCAAATGAAAATTGGGACGAGGTATAGTAATACAGTAAAAATTTATCATTGTAACGTACTATAAAAAGTATATGAATAGACAGATTTTGATATAATTTGTTTTATAGGCACCAGAAGTCCCATCTTATGATCCATGGGCAAATTCTGCCTCAAAAAAGGTGATACGGTGTGTGACTGGAATGACAAAATCAGAAAGAATAAAATTTAGATTGAGCGAACGAGATCGTATTGCAAACCTTAATGAAACTAGCACTGTCAAGCAAATTCCTTTGCATAGAGAAACAGTAAGATATGCATATTTTAATAAACATATTAATTTTATATTTCAGTGAACATTTTTTTTTACTAGGATTTTTTTTACTAGGATTGCATTAATGTAACCAACTTGTGGGTTTTATAAGATTAATTAAGCTATAATTGGATAGTTTTTTTCTTTTCCTATTTATATTGATATATTTTTCTTTACCCATAGCTTCAAGAGATACCATTGCGTCCTCCACATGGTGTCGCACAGGTCAGGTTGAGTGACACAAATATCAGCCAACAAACCTCCAACAAAAACGCACAGAAACAAGATTCTGTTGAAAGCGCACAACTTAAATCAACAACAACTAATGAATTTCGTGATACATTTCAGAAAACATTGTTCAATGAATTGCTTTCTGACCATGAACCTGATGATAATCTGATAGATAATACATTTTCCGATAATGAAAGTCAATATGTAAAATCCAAAGATAGTGCAAAAATGGACAGTACCCTGACGCAGAATCTATTGGAACTTTCTGCGACTAATAGTGATACGGTAATATGTTGTATTCGTCATATACATACGAGCCCAGTTATAAATGAATAATGTAAATTTATATTCATTTTTCCTTCTGATTTTAGTCATACAAGTCTTTTAATTCTCCGGGCCCATCTACGAGAAATTGGTTTGAGGATATCATTGGAAGAGGAAAAAATCTCTCATTTACCGGTGAAAATGAAAAGATAGAGGTAAGAAAGGAAGCGAGGGGAAGAGGAATATCAAGGAGTAAAATGAATCTGAAAGACGTGACCGAGGTAGATGCGTCTTGTCAGATATTTGGTGCTGATAACTCGAAAGTTATCGAATCAGATAAGTATACTGAAGATACTTATAATACGAGTACTTCGGATGAAAGAGTTACCGATAAGTTATTAGCTATATTGATGGACAAAACGGAAAAAATGGAACTCACGGATGAAAAAGAGGAAAGTAATTTAAATTCGAAATTCGGAAGCATATTATATAAACTCAACGATCGACTGGATCATCTAACAAATATTCAAAACGCCACTGTAGAGCAAAATGCTCGGTTAATTAAGGAGATGAACGATCTCAAACAGTTGAAGACTTGCTGTAACACTCAGTCGTCTATAACCTTGAACAAGCGTTGCGCTGCTAATTTTCCTGAACCTCTGAGTTTGGCGTATTCGAAGAATCATAATATGTTCCAAGGAGCGCCTTCGTTCGAGAAAAATACGCCGAGTTCGACCGACACGAGTGAAGGTAACGATGCGTTTAATTCAAAGGATGATAGCGAATTGCATAAACTTCGAACTCCGGAAGACTTCTATCACCATTAGGATTTTTCGTACAGTAATCGTAGACAATTTCATGAGTATTTTTTTATCAGCATTCGAATGTATAACGTTACACATCTCATAAAATAAGTTTATTTTCTTTTTTTGCTTAAAAATATTCCTATCAGAAATAAGTCTTATAAACCGCCATGTAGAATTGATCATTCTATGTTTAACACGTTCACTTTGCCACGAGAATCATTGGTGACTGACACAATGATTGTGCCAAGTCATTAATTTATATATAAAGCGTAATTAATTACACCTAATGATTTAAATATTTGGTCTAATTAATTACACCTAATGATTTAAATATTTGGTCAATATAGAGAGTTAATAAAAATTAAAAAATTCATATGAAGTGCGTATTTCAATCAGTTAACAAATGTACATTATGAAATGCTTATTTCTGTCTGTTAACAAATATGTATTATGAAATTCGTATTTGCCGTAATTTTGTATATTCAAATTTGTGTATTCAATTCATTTGTGTATTCAAAACTTTAGTTGAATTTAGATCCGTGAGAATTAACGTGGTAAGTCAACGTGTGAAATTGGATAAGATCTATTTAATTCTATAATGCGTAAGGAGATTGCAATATAAATTTAATGAGTTAAGTTGCGAGATACGTTCAATTTTATTTTATCTGTTATCATTTAAGAAGCATCCATTTTTGTTCACATATACTTAAAGTTAAGAAAAAGATAGGGTAATAGTATGATTTATTTTAAAAATCTCCTCATTTATTTCTGTATGACATGATTGATACAATCTTGTTATCTTGGTAATTCGACAATTGACCAATTGTCTAATACACTAAATCAATCTAGATATTTTAAGTAGATTTAGTGTATGTCATATATATGCATTACTTCATATATATTTTTTGATATATAAATAAAGAAATAAATTTTTTATTTCGTGTATTATTAGTGGGAAACTTTGGTTTTATAATGGTTGCGTTCCGATGTTCATTGCCAATACCAGAAATCTATAGTATACGCAACATGAACTACATAAGTATTGACAGTGAATATTGGAACACAATCAATAACTCCGATTAGTTCCTTTTACGTCATAAAAATCAAACACTACATTCTAGATTCATTCTACGAACAAGAGAAAAAAACAAGTTTCTTCAGCCGTACTGTGACCAAGTTTGAATTCGTACAAGAATATTATCCGTATTTCCTTCCCATGACGAAAAACCGCGATATGAACAGTGAACTACTCGGCCGAGAAATTTGAATGATTAAAAACGATCATTTTATCTGCAACAACTTAAGTCCGGATCTACAAGAAGTGTAATAAGCCTTCAAGCTGAAAGAAATTGACAATCAGTCGAATTATAGAAGAATAGTTCATTGGTCGGTAATACTGATTGGTCAATTTTTAATCGTTCCACTTAATGATCGCGAGTATGGACGTGGTCTACAATATCCAATCACATTGGTTAATTCGGCAAATCGACCGATTGGACGTTGTGGACGTGGCCACGATCGTTGCGGGCTTTCAGTGAAATGTGGAACCTACTTTTAAAAGTGGAGTTTGCTCGTTTCGTTATTGAGTTGTACTACTTGATTAAAATTCACCTAACTTGTCGTTGAGTGTACTACTGATAGAAGAATGAACCAATAAAGAGCGATCTTTTGACTCTTGACGTAAGGCCATGTTCTAAAGGTTGAGGTAAGACGATGTTCAAAGTCGAATCTTATATTTAAAATCGTCTTCAATTCATCTTTTGACGCTTCGTAGCTAATAAGACGACCCGTACTAAAGATGAATTTAAAACCTAGAAATGTCGTGCTATCTACACTGTTCTACATTATTCTACACTCAAAATAGCATGACATGCACAAGACATTTCCAATCATTCTTCGCTGATTCGCAGATTGCGTGTGCGCCGTTCATGGCGCTTGCTTATTAAAACAAGACTTCGCTAGTTTCGGAGGTGTCATCGACTGACAAGCGGTGTTCTCTGGTTATCAGTGAAAATTATTTTAACAAAGTGAAGCTCTTTACAAAATGGTAAGTCAATAAGGTCTGCTATGATTTAATACCAGATTTTCTAGCTTTGATGCTATATTTGCACCTTTGTATTTATAGGTTATGGGAGAAATGCATTGTCATGAAACCTAATATTTCTCTATTTTTTAAATATTTTAATGTCTTAATAACAATTGGTGCCATTCTACACATTTATTTTCGTAATATATAATCAATTTAATGTATCGGCTGCACCATTTTCATATTTAATAAAATATATGAATGTACTGAATACTCCTTAATTTATAAAAATACTTTCGATTTCGTAGCGTTTTTACAATTATCAAGTTAGATTTATATATAGTTGTTTATTCATACATATTAAAGTAAAGACTTTAAGTTGACATGCAATACGTATTTGTTATATCTTGCAGGCGCGTAGATATGACACACGTACCACAATCTTTTCACCTGAAGGAAGACTTTATCAAGTCGAATATGCTATGGAAGCCATAAGCCATGCTGGTACCTGCTTAGGTATATTAGCAAACGATGGTATTCTATTAGCAGCTGAGAAACGGAACACCAACAAGCTGTTGGACGAAGTATTCTTCTCAGAGAAGATCTACAAGTTAAACGATGATATAGTCTGTTCGGTAGCTGGCATTACTTCAGACGCAAATGTCTTAACAAATGAGTTACGTCTCATTGCGCAAAGATACTTACTCCAATATGGTGAAGCTATACCCTGTGAGCAGCTAGTCTCATGGTTATGCGACGTTAAACAGGCGTATACTCAATACGGTGGCAAGAGACCCTTTGGTGTGTCCATCTTATATATGGGATGGGATAAGCACTATGGTTATCAGTTATATCAGTCAGATCCTAGTGGCAACTATGGTGGCTGGAAAGCAACTTGTATCGGGAATAATGCGGCGGCGGCAGTGTCGTCTCTGAAGCAGGAATATAAAGAGGGAGAGACTACTTTGAAAGATGCGATGGCACTCGCTATCAAGGTGCTTTCTAAAACATTAGATATGAACAAACTTTCTGCTGAAAAAGGTAAATGTATCATATATATGTGTGTGTGTATGTGGTTTGCAATATAAAGTTTGATGTTTATATGTACACATATGTGACGTTACTGAATATCTTTCTTGTCTATTTACAGTGGAAATGGCGATACTGACGCGTGAGAACGGTAAAACAGAAACGAGAATATTGCCAGCGAGTGAAGTAGATTCTTTGATTGCAGAGCACGATCGACTAGAAGCATTGGCGGAACAAGCGAAGAAAGACAAACAAAAGTTGTAAAATTTTATATTAGATAAGGGAATGAAAATAAATCGAGAAATACAGCGTGATGGCAAAGTTTATTGTATCAGAAACTTAAAAATCTTTGTACTATGTACTATATAAATTATCTTCTTGCTATATACACACAGTTCATTCTTGCTGATAGTAATTCCATCATGTTATAAAGCAAAGCAATACCGAGTATTAAAAATTTTTTTTCATAGATATGTTTATGTTCTTCCTTTTTCTAATATCTCTTATTTTTATCTTGTAAACGTTGTAAGATTTAACAATTTTCGTATTTGTATATTTCATAGATTTATTAGTTTTTCTCCAAGATATGGAATCAACTGCCACATTTTTATCAATATTTTATACAACAGAATTTGATAAAATAATATATTAACCCTTTGCACTCCGAACCATTCTGGACTGCCACATTCTTATCAGTATTTTATACAACAGAATTTGATAAAATAATATATTAACCCTTTGCACTCCGAACCATTCTAGACGTTAGCTACCAGCTACTCAGCGCCACTTTGTCGCAGAAACGTACATTTACGAAATATTATGTAGTATAGTTTTGGAACCAAGTAACGTATTATAATGATATTGGACTTATATGAATTGGTAGACATCGAGAAATATATATTTGCAAAAAAAATCAATATTTTATTTTTTATAATTTTGTACAGTATGATAAACTTTGAAGCACTCCCCAATATGCATTGCAGGCTGATTTGTGCACGTTTGACAATAATAAGTAGTTTGACGTTTTCCACCAGGTGTTTTCCTGTCAGAACAAACAATACAGTCCCGTTTTCTTTCTCCCACATCGGGAATATGTAGTTTATTATTTAGTCTATTGTCCGCCGAAGATGTGGATGGACGTGTTTTTTTATATATCTTAGTAATTTTACCATATTTTGATTTGATTTCTTGTGCCATTTCAAGAGAAATCTTCAGGGAAACATGCATTTCTCAAAAAGTTGTGCTGGAATAAGTTGATTCCCCGTAATCACTAATAAACTTTTATGTCCCCTCAGAGGGGACATCCGAGTGATATACTAAAATTCCCCTGAGGGGGCAACGGAGTGCAAAGGGTTAGTATAGCTATTTAAAAGCACAATTATTGGATTATTTTTATCCAGAGATCGTAAAAAGGACTGTAAAATCCACGTATGAATGAAAATTCACAATTCCTCTTTATAGACGTCACTATATAGGAGGGGAGCACGTAATTTCAAAAAAATATGACAAAAAAATCTGAGAAAAATCAAATTTTTTCATGGAAATGATCAGAAACATTTAGAAGATTATTGGAATAATTCGAAAAAAAAGTGGCAAAAGGTTATGTGTCGGATCATATTAGCCAGGCTGCCCATGCGGTACCACTCCCGGGCGCGATCCCACTACTGCCCGCCACGGAGACTTTTGGCTGCTGGGTTTCCCCTCTGGCCCGGTTCGCCTCTCCTTAGCCAACCTGGTCACCCCGGACTCCTCCGGGGTGCCCATATTGATGGCGAGCTTAGTGCGGACGCCCAGTCAACGTGAGCCCTGCACCAGCAGTAACCCCCGACCTCAGACCCTCCGACATAACCAGCCTCCGAGTAGCCGGATTACAGGAGCCGCCACACTCCCAGCTGAAAGGCACGCTCCGAATTGTCTACATCCCTCACTGAGAAGTCGAGTCAATTCGTAATTCACTCGACGAAGATTATTTTCACAAAGTCGAACCTTGGTCGAGTACAAATAAACGCTAATTTTGCGTCCAGCTAGAATTCTTGTAATAAATAAATGAAAATACGTGATACGCAGGCTCCAAAGCGGTTTGAGTCGACGGTCAATAATGCAGTGCTCTGTATCATGCAGCGTTGATGTATGGTAATAAATAATGTTAGGACGAACTCAAACCGGATTTGACTTTACCTACACGGTAATCGATGGTCTGTTCTTTTTAGTTGGACTAGCTGCACGCTATTTCAAGAAATTCACATACACATTGAAGCGTATGAGACGTACGTATGAGATTCTCATGCTTTTAGTGTGTGTAAATTTCTTGGACTAGTGCAGCCGGTTCAGTTAAAAGAAACAGACCATCGCTTACACGCAAGTTGCACGTGGTTTAAATGGTATGTTCCGTTACATATATGCTGATCCAGTTTTTCTTCTATATTTGTTTACTTTATATAAATCATAAAAGTAAGTGTGATATGCAATTTTAACTACAGTATAATATTCTTGGAAATTTCTTGCATTGGTGATCGTTTGTTATTAAATTAAATTAAATCTGTATCGAAGCAAATTCACCGCCACTTAACCTGTATTAAAATATTCTTAACCGCTTTCCAATTAACATTATTATTACTTAAAATATCCTCAGATGACGTTGAAAAGTTTTCCCAGAGGAGGGAAGAAAGTTGAAGTTAAGAAATCTTCAAATGTAGTACGTATTCAAAGATTTATTTTCGTTTTACATATTAAATTAATAACTGTCTCTAGATTTATATTTAAAAGTATAGAAAATAATTCGTTAGTATAGATTTTTGTATGTAAAACTTGGAAAAATTTATATACAAAAATATAATCATGTGATTACAGTTAACATAGTATTTTTGTCTTAGCTGTTTGTTCAGAAGCCTAAATCCAACAAGAAACATAAAACTGAGTCGAAGAAGCAACATAATGACACAATCGCGGAAGAAACAGCTTTTGTAGCCAATACTGCGGGACGTTTATCTAATGCAACGTTATGTGAAGGAATGATCCTTCTTGGCAGGATTTCTAAAGTCACTGAATACGAATTAATTGTGTCCATACCAGGTGGACTTCTGGGACATGTACAAGTCACAGATCTCAGTGAATCTTACACAATTATGATACAAAATATAATCAATACGGAAGGTGTCCAAACAGATGAGTTTAAATCTTTACCAGATTTGTATGATACTGGCGATTATGTGGTATGTTATGTTAAAAGCGTGAATCCTGATGGAAAATGGTTGTATAGTTTATCTCTAGAACCTCAGTTCATAAACCAAAATATTGATAATAGTTATCTCATGAAAAACACAAAAATAGCATGCAGTATTAAAAGTATGGAGGATCATGGCTATGTGGTAGACACAGGCATAGCTAATGTCAGAGCATTCCTTGCTACCAAGCATGTTGACAAAGAGAAAAAATATTGTAAGTATAATTAATTGTTTCATGTATATAATTTATTATTATTATTACATATATCAATTATCATTTTCATATGAAACATATTTGTGATATGAATCATTAATATTTTAAATTACACAGTTCCAGGTAATCAAATTATATGTGCCATCAAGGAGATAAAAACAGTCGATCAGGTCTCCGTTATCAAATTATTGGCCAAGAAGAAAAAAGTCGACAGTGTCAGTACACACGACATAGAATCCCTGGATGCTCTAACACCAGGGACAAAACTGTCGCTTTGTGTAACGAAGGTCCTTACGAACGGCTTGCAAGTTACGTTTGGAAAAGATCAAGTTGGATACATCAACCAAATTTACTTAGACAATCCTTTATCCACGTACGTGGATGACACAGAGGTGACCGGCACATTACTGTACATAATGCCAACAGTGAAATTCGCATACTTCAGCCTGCTAACTGACGAGTCCGAGAAGGAAAGGCTGCAAGTGGGTGACGTTATAAAGAAGGCCAAAGTATTGTACAGAGAATCCAATGGGATAATATTCAAGTTAACCAAGTCCCGTTTACGCGGCTTCGTCTCCTTACGTAGAACCGACGTGCCATTTGACAAAGTCCCGAGGGATTTCGAACGAGGCTCCGTGCACCGATGTAGGATACTTTCGTACAATTGGATGGAACATCTTTATGTCTGCACGATGGAAAAGGAAACCTTGCAGCAGAGATACTTCTCCCTCACAGATCTCAAGATCGGTGACATTCTCACCGTCAGGCTCACGAAAATCGACGCGAAGTTTAGCTTCGTGCACGTGCAGGTGGGCAAGATTTACGGAGTCGTCGCGCCGGAACATGTGTCCGACAACGGCCCGAGCGAGTTGAATAAGCTGAAAGTTGGAGACAACGTCGAGGCGAGAGTCTTGAGCATCAACAACGAGAAGCGCAATGTAAGGTTCACGCTCAAGCGGTCGCTGATAAAGAGCGAGCTGCCGATTCTGCAGGATATCAACGAGGCGCAAAGCCAACGGAAATACCACGGTACGATCAACAAGATAAACAAGAACGGCCTGTTGGTGAGGTTCTACGGCGACGTGAAGGGTTGGGTCCCTCGCACCGTATTGGACAGCAACATATCCGACATCAACTGGAATTACACGGTGGGACAGACCGTCCGAGTGCTCATCGACTCGGTGGAGAAGAACGAGAATAGAATGAAACTGAGGATAATCACTGGAGAACGGAAGCAACTGCAGCCCGTTGGCGTGAAGATCGGCGATCTGGTGGAAGGAACGGTCGTGGAGTCGTCCGTCGAAGGGATACACCTGAGAATTCGCAAGACGGACGACGAGGAGGTCGCGATCGGCTTTTTGCCGGCCGGTCACATGTCCCCGTGTATGGAGATCGGCAGTCTGCTTGCGTCCAAATGCACCCCCGGCGACACCATGTCCGCTTACGTCTTCTCCACGCAGCCGAGCGTCATAATGTCATGCACTTATGTGACGCAGGAGCAGTACAGGAGCTTCGACGCGCTGAAAGTGGGCGATTGCATTCCGTGCACAATCAGGGACATTTCGCAGGACGGCGTGAGAGTGATCCTGCCGATCGAGGATTACTCCACTTTCGGGTTCGTCTTGTACAAGAATATCAGCAACTACGAGCTGTTGCGCGTGAACCAGATACTCTTCGTCAAAGTCACGACCGTCAACAAGCGAGAGAAACAACTGGGGCTGACGATGGCGTTGAAGGACGTGTGGGAGAGCCCGCTGGAGCACGGGACGAAGATGCTGGCGGCGGTGGATGTCTTGAGCTTGTACCTCAACAAACTGTCGGAACTGGCGACCAACGTGTTCTACAAGAACAAGCCGATCTCGTCGGTGACCTTGGGTCAGAAGGTCTACGGCAAGGTCGAGAAGATCACCGAACATGGCCTCGTGCTTCGGTTGGACAATCAATTGACGGGTGTGGTGCGCAAAGATCATTACGTCACCGAGCCTAAGGTCGGCGACAAGGTGTACGGTACGATCCTGTGGAAGAACTACATCCACGAACTCGTCGACGTGTCGTTGTTGCCGAGGATAGTGAACGGCATCAGCTCCAAGCAGAAAAAACTGCCGCAGCTTCCTGAGACGATCGTGCTGAGAGGAGAGATCCTGATGATTACCAACTGGTTGATACTTGTCCTCGTGAAACGCGGCGGTTCAGGATACCTGCTGGCCCTGCCGGTCCGCCGGCACTTGAACGACCTCGCTCCCGACTTGAGGCCTTACGTGGTACACGCCAAGATCCGGTTGTACGTGGTGCTCAAGGGAAACGAGTCCGACATCGTTCCGATCGGCATGCTGAAGTCTGCATTCGAGACTCCCAGAGCGACGGCTAAGCAGTCGACTTCCGGCGCGGACAAAAAGCTGAAGAGAAAGACGTCCGCGCAGCAGGAAGACGCGGCTTCAACGAGCGCTAAGAAACCAAAGGTGGAGGTCGACGACGGGGAAGCGGATGACGGTGGTGCCGCCGGCAAGAGAAAGTCCAAAAATAAAGCGAGTAATATCGACCGAGGTAAGACCGCCGCTTCGAAGAAAAGTGAGGCCAGCGGGCGATCGGGCAAAGCAAAAGCCGAAGTGGGACGTGAACATGAAGAAGAAGGCAGTATGAAGAAGAAAAGGATTAAGAAAAAAGTAACAGCCGAAGAGGAGGGGGTCAAGATAAAGAGTATAGACGAGATCTCCGCGTCGGGCGAAGATTCTACCGACGAGAGCAGCGCAGAGAACACACTGTCGATAGCGGAAAGACCGCATATTCCAGAATGCGGATTTAACTGGGACGATACGCCAAGCTCGACCGTGGTCCCCGTTAGCGAGACGTCCAGCGACGACGAGGAGGAGCCCGCGGAAGAGCCGAAGAAGAAGAAGAAGAAACCGAGCGCGGCCGAGCGCCGGGAGCAGGAACGGCAGAAGGAACGCGAGATCCGCCAGCGGGAGGAGGCTTTGGCGAGCAACCAAATGCCCAATTCGATCGACCAGTTCGACAGGTTGGTCCTGTCCAGCCCGGACAGCTCGTTGGTGTGGCTGCAGTACATGGCGTACCATCTGCAGGCCACGGAGATCGACAAAGCGAGGGCGGTCGCGAGGCGAGCCATCAAGGCGATAAACTTCCGCGAGGAGAACGAGCAGCTGAACGTGTGGAACGCCTGGCTGAACCTCGAGTCCAAGTACGGCACGTCCGACTCCCTGAACGACGTGTTCCAGGAGGCGGTTAAGGCGAACGACGCGCTGAAGGTATACACGCACATGTTGAGCGTGCACGTGGACGCTGGCAGGCGGGCCGAGCTGGAAAAATTGATCACCACCATGACCGGCAAGTTCAAGCAAGATTTCGGGATGTGGGTGGACTGCGGCGCCGCGTTCCTGAAGATCGGGCTCAAAGAGAAGTCACGTCACGTCATGCAACGGGCGTTGCAATCTCTGCCGGCGTCTCAGCGTGAGTGCTCACGTTTTGTTGTTGCGTAAAGCGTTGCGTTGTGTACATAATGCGGAAGTAACGCATCACTTGTAACGCTGTTACCGCCGCAAGTGGCTCCTCCTTCCTCAGTAACGGTCTGGTAACAGCGTTAATTTTCCTCTCATTAGTTACGAAGATTACGGTAACGTAATTATATCTTCGGCCGACGTGGTTGACGAATATAACCGTTGCTTTTATCGTTATTTCGCGCGCACAGAGTACATCTACAAGTTCCTTCCCTTCGGCGTTATTTCTTCTCATTAGTTAGGAAAATTACGTAATTGTATCTTTGGCTAACATTGACGAATATAACCGTCACTTTTATCGTTATTTCGTACACATAGAGTACATATACAAGTTCCCTTTTCTCAGTAACGCGTTATTTTTCCTCATTAGTTATAATAATTATGGTAACGTAATTATACTTTTGGGTAACGTTAACGAGAATGTAACCGTTACTTTGATCGTTATTTTGCATGTACAGAGCTTTCTCTATATGCGAGATGAGCGATAACAAATCACTCAAAAAGATCGTCGAAACTTGGTGAGGAAAATAGCGGAAACCGTAACGACTCACTTTGCTGCTCGGGTAACGATAACGGTGATTTTCCGAAATGAAAACGAGTTGCTCTTGAAAAGTAGCTTTCCCAAACTTGGTATACAATATATAATAGAGAAACGTTTTGTTTAATAAATAAAACGGCATATTTTATATTCTCAGTGTATGTACGTAACGTGGATTTTCCGTGTGCATTTCTCCCGCAGACGTAAACTTGATGGTAAGATTCGCGAATTTGGAGAACAAACTGGGAGACAAGGAGCGGTCGCAGACTTTGTTCGAGCAGATCCTGAGTTCCTATCCCAAGCGTGTCGACGTGTGGTCCTCTTACATAGACTGTCTGGTGAAAACCGGGGATCTCGAAATAGCCAGGTGCGAGCCACTTATACGCAATACAGGTTTCTTCTCGGTGAGTACGTTGACCGTTTCATTTCAACATCATGCATTTTCGTAGGAGAGTATTGAATCGAGCGGTCGCCCAGACGCTCCCAGTAAGGAAGATGAGAACGCTGTTCCAGAAGTTCGTGAGTTTCGAGGAGAAACACGGCACGTCCGAGGACGTGGCCCGCGTACATCAGCTGGCCGCCAGTTATGTAGAGAAACAATGTAGCAAGGAATCGACGTAAAGTATACATATAAAACACTTTGTACAGTACGACTCGATGAAGAAAGAAAGAACGGAAAATGAAGCTTTATTTATCGAATAAATCTTCATTTGTTAAGGAGAAAGGGAGACGAAGGTTCGTCGAAGATGTAATTTCTTAGATTTACAATTCGTTACACACATACGTTGAAAATAAATTTCGCTTGATTTTGTCACCAAGACCGTTCGTGTGTCGTTCATGAAACACGAGATAGACGAAGGTTCGTCGAGGATGTAATTTCTTAGATTTACGATTCGTTACGCACACGTTGAAAATAAATTTCGCTTAATTTTACCACCAAGACTGTTCGTGTGTCGTTCATGAAACACGAAGAGAGACGAAGGTTCGTCGAAGATGTACAATTTTTAGATTTACGATCTGACACACACACACGTTGAAAATAAATTCTTACACCTGGAAGGCCGCTCGTGTATCGTCCACACGAAGCACGAAGAGAGAGAGAGAGAGACGAAGATTCGTCGATGTACACTTTTAGATTTACGAACCGACACACGTACGTTGAAAATAAATTCTTACATTCCTAAGACTGTTCGTGTATCGTTCAACGGGCAGCGAGGCGAGGAGAAACGAAGAAAAACCGCAAGGAAACTTGGTACACCATCCGCCCCCCGAGGCGAGAAACCGCCGCTGCTCGAGCGGCGGCTTTTCGAACGGGCCGCGGCGATCCTCCCGGCGACGGGTCGCGTCGTTTCCGGTGCGTCCGCACCGCGGCACGGCGTGCCAAGGCGCTTCTGCGCTAGCGCAGAACGTCGCCGTCGTTACCGCGGCCGCCGTCGTATCGTCGCGCCGCGGACGATGCGATGACTGTCATGACGCGGAAATCGGCAACCTTGTGTCGCCATATTGTTTGTGCGCGCACGTTGCTGGCGGGCCAGTGCCGCGAGGATCTCGCGATACGGCTAGTCGGTCGGCCGGACTGAAGGCGAGGAGTGTCGACGAGAGGTAAATACACACCGGGCTTGCGGTACGTCGACGACGACGACATTGTTTAACGGTAATCGCTCGAGAGAGGAGACGCGCGTGCATGGTCGTACCCTACACTCGTCGTACACGCGAGAGTGCTGAAAGACGCGCCAGAGAGAGAGGGAGAGAAAGAGAAAAAGCGCCTATATACATATATGTATATACACATACATTAACCAACGGAAAGTTGTTTCGAGCGCAGCGCGAAAATCGATCGCGCCCGCATACGCGCGCGCTCCGCGCTGCGCGACTATCTTCTCGCCTCTCCTCCTCGGCCGCCCCGTTCGCGGCGCCCGCTCGGAATTCGGAGCGTACGTTCCCGGTGGGTGACGTCACCGTCGTCGGCACCGTCAACGGGATGGCTCGTCGTGCTCGCTCATCGAGCTAGTCGACCCGCCGAAGCCGCTCGATCCGCGCGCGCGTCCACCGCGACCTGATCCACTCGCTTCCCCCCGGGAGAATTCGCGTCCGCGACATGAGCGAGGAGACGCGAGCGGTTGCTAGGTGTCACGTTCCTCAGTCTCGATAACGGACGAGTACCGGCCGAGTCGGTTTCCCGGATTCTTCGCCGCGACCTGCGCTCCTCCTGCTCCACCACCACCTCCTCCTCGTCGTCGTCCTCCGCGTCGTCGTCGTCGTGAGTATTTTCATCGACCTTCTTTCTCTCTCTCTCTCTCATTCTCTCCTTTTCGCTCTTCCTCTCTCCCGTCGGCGATTGACTTTTGCCGCATAGGCGCTCGCGAGTTCGGAAGGACGCAAAACAGGACAACATTCGGCTACCTCATTCTGCTACAGGACGATTCTCCTAACGTTTGTATTTGCGTGTATCTTTCACGTTTTTGGTTATGAAAAGCCGTTCGGGAGCCGAACGATCCGTCGCCTTGTGCGGACGTACCTCGCGTCTCGCTCAGACAAGGGTTAGGTTACCGCGTAGCCGTGAATAACGTGTTCGGTGAAAAATATTGCATCTAGTGATACGCACGATTCTATCCCGCTAGTGAATACCGTTAAAAGAAAGGAGCATCTAAGGTCCGTAAATTAATCTTTTCTTAGGAATCTTTTCAATTTTTGATGGAATTATTAATGAAAAGTGACGTCCAATGTTACGTTTTTAATTCTCACCGACCGAACTACTCTTACGGTTTTGGTGAAAAACGAGAAGACGATGAAAGAGACGTGTGGAGGTATGAAAAAAATTACAGAAGATCATTGAGCATAGTTTTCCGGAAGTTGATACGCAAAGTACACAGTTTCAGATCGCGAAAGCGAATCTGCCGTGGGTTTTTCAGCCGTGGTTTCTTAAGGTTTCTCTCCTAATCCTACGATTGAAATATATGACAGCTAACCTATAAAAATTTGGCAAATACACGCGCTACTTCCCTTCGTGCCTCTTGGTTTAGACATTTTCTTAAAAGTGGAACGATTAAATAATCTTGAAGCTCTGTAATCGGCACGTAAAAATGCGAAAATTACGAGAAAAATGCAGAAAAATCCAAAATCGCGAAAATTTTTCTAATAGCTTGCATTTGTGTGTGTGTGTCTATCGGTACATATGATACATTCGTACATGTGTAATACGGCGGTTCCAGTTAAAAAATATTACATGTCAAGGCGCGAAAAACGATTATTTTCTTATGAGTTTCCAAACATTAAGTTTGATTGATATTCTCTTACTATAATGTCCAAGCTGTGTATAAAAAATCATGTTTATAAACATTTAGCACACAGATTCTTCGAGCTTCTTCCCGTTGTATTATTCCCAACAATATTATCACGGGCCGGCTATCTTAAGAAACCACGACTGAAAATCCCACGGCAGATTTGTTTTCGCAATGTTGCGATCGGTCAATCGATGTTGACGTGGTCGAGTCCCGCCAAGGAGAGACGAGGAATCCGAGTGAAGGAACACAAAACGACGCGCGCGAAAGGAATCCAGTGCGATCGCGAAGAAAGCTTTAATGAGCGCTTTCTGTTTAGTGACACAAGTCGGCGCAAGCATCAGCAGCTCGTCTTGGTCGCTCGTTGAATGTACAGAGTGAGACAATGACTATTACTACCTCGAACATTTTCCAAATGTGAAAATAGGGGGGAAAAGTTTATTTATCAGAAATTGCACAGTGAGATATCAGAGGTCGTTACTCCGAACACCTTCTGTGAATGAAAGCTTTTTAATTTTCTAGTCTAGTGATAAAATCTAGTTGATAAAATATTGTTATTTTTCTAAAATACTTGAGCGGCAGTAGTAATTATTATCTCACTCTGTTGAACAAAGACAGAATGATGCTCGTACTCCAGTAAGCAAGAAATCATTAACACAACGTTATTACAGTATCTTATAACGTGTAACATTTAAATATGTTGTCTTTAATTTTGTACAACGTCATTGTTAACAGTATTTGACCGAAACATTAAAAATAATGTTTCTACTTTATGTTTGTAATATTTAGGGATATTATATTATCAAGTAACAGTTTAAAAATATTCATAAAATATTACGTCAAAATGTTTATATAAAATCCACATAAAATCAGTGTTTCGAAAGATTGATTTAACGTTTCTTGCATACTGGAATCAGTAAAGGTGGGTATACACTGTAATTTTAAAATTTCGGAAAAGACTCGTTTTTTCCCGAATTTTTCCGCGAAATCCCCGACCTTTGTCCCAAGGGTGCAAGAATTCGTTTAGAAAAATTCACGTGCGTTCGGTTAAAACCCGCCGCATTTACTTTTTTCCATAAAGAAGGTCAGAAACAAATCCGCGAAAAAAATGGGGAAAAACGGATTTCTCGCGGAACTTTACGACTATAGTGTACACTGAGCGAACGAATAGCGAATGTGTAACATGAAAGTGTATATTCGCGTCCAAATGCGCATAAATTTTCTCTGATGAAACCGCCTTGTAAACAAATCGGCCCAAAACATCCTGTTCCGATTCGTCGTAGCGTACCACATTTTCCAAATTGTAACGACGAAAGTTCGCATTCGTCGTTCCATTTCTCGTTAGTTTGCTTAAACTCGTATTCTGAACTCTCTTTTTATCGATAAAAGTGTCTCAAATGCGGCTTTTCAGCCAATTAGGTGGCTTCCAAGCACTTAGGTGGCTTTTAAAGACACTTTTATCGGCGAAAGTGAGCTCAGAATACGGGCTTTGGTGTATACTCAGATCAAGTGAAAATCGCCCGATGTCGGTGCAGCGCATCGTCGTGCGTCGCGACGAACCAGAAATAAGGAAAAAAACAGTCCGGAGCGACCACGCATTTGGTGACACGCTTCGCGTGTTCGCTGGCGCACGCGAGATCCGTTGATCGCTACGACGACGATGACGACGACGACGTCTAATTTTCACGATCCGGTGTATCATCCGAGGCATCTCGGGAGGCTGACGCGCGTATTCCGACATACGCGAATGCGCGACTCATCGCGCGCAAAATCGTTACGCTGCGAAATGCAAAGCGGTCGACGCGGACGCACTGTGTGCAAATCGCGACGATCCCACAGCCGGAATCGTCGCCGTTCACCGAGTTCGACAGCTTTATCGGTCGTTCGGTGATCGAGCGATAAACGCTCGGAGCGTAAATCTCAAGAGGGAGATCACGCACGAGGAGCGCAGCGTGTTACGTCACTCTGTAATCACCGAGCTATCATTTACACGCGATAAAGTGATCCGCGTTGATTCGCTCCACTTGACGAATTCGAGTGAGTGAATCCGCGACGTGCCGGCCGAGATCCACTTCTCCCGGTGTCGCACAACGGGAGAAAGTAAAAGCGCGCGCGCTCTCTCGAGCAACGAGAAACAACGCCGCGGAGTTATTTGTGTCGTGACGCGGCCACGCGAGCTAAATATGAAATCGTGACACATTTTAGCTCGCGAATTCGAGCTGCTTATGACATTAATCGACACTGACCTTACGACGCCGCACCATCGATCCGCGCAGCACGCGCGCGTTCTCTCTCTCTCTCTCTCTCGTTGCATTCGCAATGGCTCGGAAAGAAGAAAAGAAACGGAGAAGAGAAAGAGAGGCAGCAAAAAGTCTGCCGGGTTCGGCCCGTCGTCGGGGGGCGCACGGGCGGCCGAGGAATATTTCAACGTCGTTTTCCATTTCGTTTATGCCCGCTGCGGAAGATAGGATATCGATTAGTCGCTTCTCTCTAGCGTGCTCCCGGCGAAGCCTTAAAGTCGTCGGAACACATCCATCAATCCCACGTACGTAACGCGGGTCGAACGGGCTTTGCTACGCGAGAATTAATCCTGTGCCTCACTGGAAAAGCGGGTCAACGGATTCATGGATTCTAATCTCCCTGCGGAGTCTGGGAACCGTGCAGGGACAGATAGTCGTTATCGCTCGCCCTCTGAAGATATTGAGTTATCGCTCGCGAGTTACGTGAATTTCTTTCCCTATTTCCCGCCGACGGAAAACGATCAAGCGTGTTCGTGGACTCCGAATTTCTTTTTCTCCAGCTTTGAGAAAAAAATCGTATATTTGCGGGCAGAAAGAATTTCAGTTCGCGTAAAGCCTGTCATCGGACTGCGCATTGGAGATTGAGATTGGATTGAATCCGGCCAATCAATGCCAAGTTCAGTAAACTCAAATTTAATGAAATTTAGTTAACTTTGCACTGATTGATCAAATTTCAATTTATAATGCACAGTCCGATACAACTTTGCACTGATTGATCAAATTTCAACTTAATTTCAATTTATAATGCTTAGTCCGATATAGGCTTAACATGGACAAACTTAACAGAAATGCGATGGCGAGATGTGATATTTCTGTTATCGCGACCGAAAAAGTTCGTCTGAACGTTCGGCTGTGTCAAAGGTCGATTGAGATGATTGAAAACAACTGAGTGGAGATTTTCTACCGGAATCTTTCTGTTTCTATAACTGAGTTTTTTGTCTGGTCTGCTTTTTTTCAAGACAACGGGAAGATTCAATTACACTAACGGAATTATTATTTTTCTTTTTGTATGTTTCCTCTTCCAAGAGATACTGAATTTTCCTCCGACATTAAGCGGTCAAACAGTTCACGGATTCTAATTTTCTCCAAACCCTGAAGATTGGAGGAACGGTTATTGGTCTTTTTTCTTCCTGAATTATTCGTTCTCGAATTACGCGACGGATTTTCTTCCGACAGAAAGCGGTCAGACGTACTCGAATTCCAATTTTCTTCCTGCACGGAATATCGAGGAAACGATCTTCTTTTCTTCCGAGATGCGGGATTCTCGCTCACAAATTATGTGGTGAATTTTCCTCCGACAGAAAGCGGTCAAACGATCTACAAATTCGAATTTTCCTCAAATTTTGCACAGAAAGAACAATTGCGTCGGTATAACTGAATTTTCCGTTGCCCGAGGGCCAGACGAAAAATTCGGTTGTAAGAATAGGAAGATATTCCTGCAGGAAGTTTCTGCTCAGTCAATTGCTCTCAGTTGTCCCGACCGAATTTAATGCAGCTGAATGTTCACACGAATGTTCTCAGTCGTGGTATCAGAGACGTATCATTTCTCGTTACCAAGTTTTTATCTGGCCTTCATTCAGTTGCGGGAACTGAAATATTTCTTCCGTGTGCACACATATAAAAAAAAGTGACAGAATCAGCGAAATTTTGCTTAAACGAACAAAATTCTTTCAAGCACA